TTAACTTTTGTGCATGGTGAGAGATAGGGATTCAGATTCATTTTGATGCAGATGGATTTCCAGTTTTCCCAGCACCATTTGTTGAAGATGCTATCCTTCCTCCATTGCATGCTTTTAGCCCCTTTATCAAATATAATTCTTATAAGAAGAAAAAACTAACTACCTGTTTGTTAGACCTTTGAATTAGGTATTCAAAACCCCAAGGCATTTCCAGTAGCTAGCTCCCCACTTACATTCTCTTTCATGTATACAAAAATAGTCTGTTAAGTTCCCTGGACTTTTTCAAATGGGTAAGTCCTCCAGCAACATCAGAGGAAATAAAGGGGAATTTGATCACTAACTTCTCCCTTTCAGTCTGAATTGCTACCAAAAAAAAGAAAAATCTATTTACTATGAACACGTGATATTTAAAAGACACTTGCTCATAGGCTAGGGGAAGACACAATTATATTTTTTAAATTATGAAGTGTTATATATGTTCAGAAGTTCCCATCTGGAACCCCTCATTTTTCTACTTACCTTCCCTGCTCTCCTTCATCTTCTGGGCATTCAAGTCATATTAAATATTTTTGATTTTCTATATGAATTCAATATCTGCCTTTTATTCTATCACTAAATCCACATATTAGGATTACTTTGTATAGGTTCTATATTAAGGGGAGACTAAGTTTCTTTGAGAACAGGTTTTTCTCATGTTGGTTGCCTCACCTAGATTAGCACAGATATTTGCAACACAGTAAGTGCTTAATAAGTGTTTGTTGAAATAAAGTGGTTCTTGCAATAACAGATTTTACTATACTATTTATAGCAAATCTTCATGGTGAAACTGCAAATTTTAAAACCACTGATATTACATTTTATTAACTATTCATGATCTTGGCAAATGACAATTTCTATATTAATTGAAGAATTTTAAATTCGTGGCTACCCTTCATTTATTTATCTGGATATTCAAATGTGGGTAAAATGATCCAACCCCAAATTTTCCAACCTCTTAAAGTTATAGCACTCTTGTCAGACATTCAAGATTATCTACATTTATAGTCAGGGCTGATTTATCACTTTGATTTTTTTACTTCTAATATTTCACACCATTACTTTAAAGTTTAAAAATTTTTAAATTTTTCTACACTTTGGAATATAATGATATTAAATTACTTTCTTGGGGACTATGTTTGATTTAGTAAGTTTTCTGCCAATGTCATGTTCAGAAAAAGAACTAGTAGATGAAAAATTTAGCAGACTCGGAACTCAACAGATCAATACACATGTTAGTGTATATCTAGTGCTATGTATAAGGCTCAAACAAAAATTTGCAAGAACATTTATACTACATCTAAGAATAGGCATAAGCACATAAAAAATTGGCTGCATTTCTAAATTCCATACCTTATCTTGAAAAAACACTGCAGCAAATGTAATTCACAGTCAATCAAATACACAGGCTTTTGAAAATGAGTAGAACACTTGTACTTACTTAGAGGCAACTCGGAAATATTTCTGGATGAAATAAAAGGCAACTCCAAGAGGCACAAGAGCAACAAGGAACACGGGAGTGGCATAGGAGATCATCCCAATGGCAGACAGGCAAAGCAGTGTTGAGCGAGTTAGAGATTCCAGAGTTGGAGGGATATGCTATTGAAAAGGTCATTTTAAAGAAAAATGTATCTTAGTTCAAATGAAGCACTGATTACAATGCAACAAAAAATATTCATTTTATATTAATGGTAAGTTATAGAGTCAGTTACACAATAGTATACATTCATGTTCACTGTAAGCAATTCTTTACTCACTACCCATAGTTTAGTATAGCTATTTACCTATATATCTACATATCATTGATTAGTTGTCTACCTATTTATCTTGGTATTTTATGTAAAATGGCACTGTAGTATAAATTTTATTCATTCATGTGCTTGTTTTACTTTGCCCGATAAGATGGATTGTAAATCTTCCCAAGTAAGTGTATATAAATCTTCCCAAGTAAGGGTATATAAAGTGTATATAAATCTATTTCCTTTTAATGGATGTATAGTACTTTTAAAAGCTAAATAGCTTTTAAAAGTATACTTTTTTTTTAGGTATACTTCTGCTAGAAGACATTAAAATTAGTTCTCTACAATTCCTTGCTTATATTCTTTGAGTGGCTTTGTTTGGGATTTTACATTTTAAATTTGTCTTTGATGCTTTTAGCTCTATAAAAGTTAATTCAAACAGTCAAATCTATTGGGTTTTATTGTTTCTGAATTTTATATCTTTCTCTTCCCCAGATTCTAWACTATTAATTTATATTTAATTTTATAATTTATGGCTTTATGTCACCATATTTATTCTATATGCATATGTTTTGTATATTATGAATAGTTAATCATTACAATATACTTTATCAAAATAAGTCCTTTTTACTGATTCAAGATGCCACAGTTATTCTACATTAAATTTCTATATATGCTAGTGGTTTTGATTTCTCCATTCTGTTCTTTTGGTCATCTTGTCTTCTGTAATCAATGGAGCATTTTAATTTTATTATAGTTTTTAGATATCTGACAAAGGAATATACACAGAATATAACACACACAGAATTTTAATGACTTCTGAAATTCCTGGATATCTTTTCTTCATATTAGGTGATTTCTAGTTCCTAGTTTTTGTTGTTACTATAAATGGAATCTATTTTTCACACAATTTATTAATTGGTATGTAGAGAAAGTTACCAATCTTCATACGATATGTCTCATCCAGATATTCTGCTGAACTTTCCAGTTGTTTTTCTTTTTATTTTGCTAATTATTTTGAATTTTCTAGGAAGCAATCTTATTACCTTTTAACTAGTGACTATTCTGTCTCTTCTTTTCCAACATGTATGCCATGTATCCCTCAAAATGTCTCAGCATGCTTCTCGTCAGCTACATGCATCAAGCATTCTTTTTTTTAAATCTAAGATAATCTGTGAGTTTCCAATGCTACTCTGGAATGTCAGAAAGGCCAGATCTGGATTTAATGAATTCCTCCCTCAATTATCCTAAGGATTCTGCTCTTGCAATGATTCTCTGTTGAATCTGACATCTTTAATTTCAAGACAAACTTCTTGAGACCTAAGGATCTTACACTAAACTATAATTCTTAGAATATTCCCTGAATATGAATCACGCCATCTAAAGCCCCAAGAGCCAATCTAATAAAAGTAAAGAACATCTAAGATAGTTTGGCATTCCACCTGTCATTTCTGGGAGATACTCTACATGGATATTAAACTTTTAAGAAATATTTTTTTTATGAATAGCTATACAACATTAACCAAAATCATTCTTTTTATAATAAAAAACTTTAAATATTGGTTCATTCTTTGCTATGTCATATTACACTGGTTTGTAAGTATCCTCTGCTACATGCACAAGTTAGTTTGAATTAAAGTTTTCCATTAAGATTTTATGCTACAAATCATTGTAAACAGGCTTTACATTTTAGCATTCTTTACTGTTAATAGTAATCATGCTTTATCTTAAAATGTAGTTCAGCTTACAGAGAAGCTTATTTTTGAACGTGGAAGTAACTCAGGCACTCACCTGGTCGATGATATTAGTATCAGCTGAGAATCGATTGAGAATTAGCCCCAGGGGAGTGGTATCAAAGAACCTAGGCAGTGAACAGATTGGAGAACATGATAATACTAAACTAACTGGAACCTGAGCAGTGTTAAGGAATGTCTAGAGTCGGGAAAATGCCATTGTCCTATTCATTTGCTCAGACTGAAGAAATTCTTTAAACTTTCACATTTCACTTAAAATTTAAAAATGCGTATTTTATCATTTTTTTTTTTTGTAGGAGCAAAAAGACCTCACTTTACCTTATTGGTCCAAGAATTATCTTATTGAGAAGATTGTGGTGAAGATTTTTGGCAGCTGTGAGACCCATCCATTCTACAGTGAGAGATGTAACCAGGCAAAGGAAAATACCTGCTCCACAAAGTATGCTAAATCCAGCCACATAGTAGGTCTACAAGGCAACCAACATGAAACTTTCATAAGAAATCATCAATTTGGTTTTTCTTTTACTAGAAAACCAAATGTCAAAGTCAGACAAGATGGTTGGCATCTTGCACACTTTAATAGTTGAAGGAGAGCAGTTTTTGCAGATCCAGGATAGTACCCCAACCACAGTCCCACTAGGCCAAGGGCCTGTCCACTTCCTTCACTCTCTTTCAGGATTTGTCTAAGGCCAAGTGAAGATAGAGAGTTAGTTTTCAGTTTTGAGCATATTCTTGGTTTTCTACTTTTGTGGAGTTCATTCTTCACATCCCTATCCACAGAATGATTAGCTAAGACGCTGAAATAAGGAGTTAAAATCAAATAACCATCACAAGTACAACAAAAAGTGCTGCACATTTGTGTTTATAGAACTTCCTTAAATCCAAATCCAAACATCATCTTTTCATATTTCTTATGATAAACTTTAAAGATAAAAGTAGTATTAATAGATGTGATTTTTACATTACTGAGTTCATTCTATTTCAGGTTCTATTCTAATTACTAACTTATGAAATCATTGCAGAAACCCACTGGCATGTGGGCTGTTAGCATGTAACTACTGGCATCACTGTTTAATCTCAATAGTTTCCTGATGATTTTAGAGCAGAACTGAACCCACTGTACCTGGTCAGCTTTTCCAGTATTGTTTATATTATACTCAGATGTCCATGTAGCCAGCCAATAGTCTATAGCCACAATAACTGAATGCTTCAAAAGCTTAGAGAAAATCATCAGGCAGAGTAAGAAGAATCCTCCAGAAGTGAGGTACCACCAACAGGTTTTCCATGGCATTTTCGTTCTGAGCCTCATTACAGTAGACATGTTATCATCCTCATCTTCCTCCTCTTCTTCCTCTACACACAGACATCAAAAAGAAACTTGTTTAAGCTTTAGATGGGCACCATAAGGATGGAATTTTTATTGTGTAACACAAAACTATATATAAGTTTCCCTCAAACTTTATAGATATATATTTAGTCTTGGAAGCTTTAAATGTGTTTAGCAAGACAAACCTCAATTTAAAAAAAAAAAGGTGAAAAATGAATGAAGGAAGGACTAAATAAACATAAAGTCTATATTTGGATAGGACCATTTGCTGATTTCCAGATCAAATTGACTATAAGTTTAAAACAGAAGTTTTGTATAGCTCAGGAAGGGGAACCCATGCTTTCTCTGTTCCATTTTAGAATGGTCATGGTGATAAGTTGACAAAGAGGAAGTTTCTAGAGGTAAAGTCGGTGGCCACAGAGAACAATGGTCAAAAGGGTTCTTTCAAATATTGAAACTGCTTGGGTACTTCAAGTCGGGCTATCCTAAGAATGGACTCCACTGCTAGGGCAAGAACTTTATTGTCCAGCAAAATTTGGTCTTCTGTATGGTCCAGTGACTGCAGTATTTCCCCTCCTTTCCTTCTCCAAAGGCAGTTTTCATTACTCCTATTCTGTGCATATTCCACAGGGTCAGAAGGACAGATGACATGTCTCTGCTTTACAGGTTATCAGACCACAGGGATCCAAGTATGAATATGTTTGAACTGAATGCAGCAAGTAAGTGTGTTCTCTGGGTGGATGACAGGAATGGAGGTTTGCACGACCAAAAAGGTGAACATCTGCTCACTGCTAGCTGTCTCTCCAGCATCCACTCTCTACTTCTATATTAACTGAAATTTCAGGTTGCCCAAGGTTGCACATAAAGACAACATTTCTTGATTCTCCCAGTACCTAGTCTGTCCATGTAATGAACTGGCCAATAGGTGGTACAAGCAGTACATGCAACTCCAAGTTCCTTAAAGGAAAGGAGGTGCCCACTGTTTCCTTTTTCCTCTCCTGATTACTTGAACAGGCATAGGACCTGAGCAGCAGCCTTGGAAGGAACATGGACTATAATGAGCTCTTTAATGTATATCATCTCCTTTCCTAAGTAGCACATTATTTTTTTATATCTGAGAAAATGAATCAAGCCAGCAAGCCCAGAGCAGAATCAGCCTCCCCAGTGGTATACTTCCCCCTGGAAAGAAGGAGGAAATAACTCAGCATAGCTCCATTTTTACAGTGGATCAGAAATAATCGGCTTAGAATTCCAGAAACTAATGAGTGTTTTTAAGAACACTTTTTTTTTTAAATCTTAGAAACTGAAATGAAGAATTCAGTTTTTCATTCATTCATTTACTCCATGAACACCTGCTGAAACACTGAATAGTCATATGAAACATAAAGAAAGCATGTTTTGCTGTTCTCTGGCTTCCAATTTCAATTTTTCTTCACTACTTAATTGGTTTATTGAAATGCAATTGTAAGTAAAAGCTACATAGGTGATGGGTTTACTAGGTGGTCTTGTGAGGTGGTCCTTACTTATTTGACAGCAAATGTCAAGATAATATAATTATTGTATTTTGTTATTCAGATTTACAGTGAATCCTTTTCCCCAGCTTCCCATATTAGATCCAGAATAGGGAAGCATGACAAATGGCTAATTTTCTTATCTTTCATTGTTTTACTGCCATGAAAGTATCATGAATGAGTGAATCAAATGTAGGTACTTCCAAAGTATCTTTCCCATATTTCCCACTAATTGTACATTTCTGAAGAGTTGATATTCTATTAAATAAATATTTTGATTTGATTATTATGCTAGACCATTCCATTTTTTTTCTGAACAAAGGTTCAGAAATGCTTACAGACCACTGCCTTTTTCTTTCAGTTCTCTGTCACACATGGCACAGATGTAATAAGACACACTGTGTGCAGCTCCTCACAGTGCTTTTGGATGGGTTGTGTACACCTTTCCTTCACTTTTATTCTTTTGATTTTTGGCATTGGGCATTTGATTTAGCTTCCCTCCCCCCCCCCCACACCAAGTGGCCTGTCATTCCTTATGAAGGAACTCACACATCAACTGACAAGGTAAACCCCTAACATTCTATTACCTCATTTGCACATTTCAGACACAAGAAAAATTATTAAAAATGAAAAGATCTACCTTCGTCTTCATCCTCCATTTGGGCTTTAGCCTCTCTTGAGTACATGGCTCTTCGGAGAGTTTTCCTCTCTAAAGTGGTCTGGTCAGTTTCCATATCCTACAGCAAACATTGTGCCATCATTCAAGGAGCTCCCCGCAGAAGAGGGCTTTGACTTTCCAATGAATGACACATGCAGATGGTTTTATGCCAGTCTCAAGGATTCTCTGCTCATTCTGGAGACCCAGGACTCCAGGCACAGGAGCAGTTGTAGAAATGTCAGGTTTGTACAAAACACTTCAGCTCCCAGAGGGCAGCGGGGAGCCAGGAAAACAGAAACAATTTGATGGCACCAATCCCAGGGGCAGGGAAGTAACTCCACTCACCCTAAAGCATAGCTTCACCACTGCTACTTGTTTTATTTTCACATCAATTTCAAACACACTCATTTTTCTAAGGACTTATATTTATTAACATAAATATCTTCCTTAAGAAAATGCGTGTAGGGGTTGTGGTTGTGGCTCAGTGGTAGAGCGCTTGCCTAGCATGTATGAGGCCCTAGGTTCAGTCTTCAGTGTCACATAAAATTAAATAAATAAAATAAAGATATTGTGTCCATCTACAACTAAAATAATATTTTTTTAAAAAAGAAAATGCATGTACACAACCAGTGTAACTCTAAATCATGTACAACCAAAGATGGGAAATTATAATCCATGTATGTATAATATGTCAAAATGCACTCTACTGTCATATATGTCTAAAATGAACAAATTTAAAAAATCAAGGAAAAAAAAAAAGAAAATGCATGTCATTCTGGGTTGGCTGAATTCCTATCAGGCATCTACTATTAATATGTGTTATTAAATCAGAATGAATTTCTTTAGCATCTCATTGAGGGAGTTGCACAGAAGAAAGGGACTTCAATAGGATTTGAAGGAAAGAAGGTAATTTTGAAGGAAACAAGAAATTAGGTGCTTAGCAGTTTAAGAGAAAAAGGACCTCGGAAGAGGAAATATGGAGAAAGAGAAGGGAAAAGTAACAAAACCAAACTAATTTTTTAAGGGTTGATTCAGACATGTCCTATGGCCAAGAAAGGGAAAGCATTCCACTTTTTCCATTTCCTGGCTTCCAATCTCTCAGCTCCTGTCCCCTAACTTCAGACCTGAGGTGGTAGTAATGGTTCAGTTACTTGGTAGGTTTAACCAGGTTCTGTAGCCCAGTCTGGAAAAATGACCATCACCCTGCTTTTGTGTGGCAAGTGCACTCTGTGTCTCAAAAAACTTACCCACAAACTTTTGGAACCCATGACAAATTGTGAGCTTCCTGTACATAAAAATACAAATACTATCACCAACAACAGAAAACACAGTTTGTTACATCAGTGGGTCAATAAACTTTTGGCACTCAATACATAGGTAGTGATCTTGGGTTCTTTGGGCCTCATGTCACATGTGGGATTTATGAAACTTGCTCTTCTGTAAGTCTCTATTACTTCCAGATTCTTAGTCAAAAGGGTAAAAGCAGGGCTGGGTTATAGCTCAGCGGCAGAGGACTCGCCTCGCATGTGTGAGACCCTGGTTTCTTTCGATCCTCAGCACCACATAAAAAATAAATAAATAAATAAATAAATAAATAAAATAAAGATATTGTGTCCAACTACAACTAAAAAGTGAATTTTTTTAAAAAAGGGTAAAAGCAAAAGTGTTTCTTGAATAATATTTTTACAAAGACAATTCCACATTAGAGATTAACTTTGATATAAAAACTAACATTTGTCAATGAGTCTAAATAAAACACAAAGTGAAAAAAGAATTCCTATCCTTTGTGTAGCACGTAAGGGAATGAAATCAACCTGAATCCTGAAAAACAGATTTGACTGGTTTGATTCCCTCCTAGGTGTGAGCATAAGTTTTATCTTGGAGACTTAAAACCACAAAAATCCTTTAAAGCAAATTTTCTTAAGAGTAAATGCTCAAAATTAAGCTCATTGAAGGATAAATATTTTAAATTATGTTGATGTTTGGATTAAATAAATACAGTTTTATTTGTCCAATAAATATTGACTGGATCTAGCCACGGTGAGGGTAGGGGAGAGCTAGTGAGGGAACATCAAATATTGATTTTGGGCTGGGGTAATAGCGCAGTTGGTAGAGTCCCTGCCTCCCACGCACAAGGCCCTGGGTTCAATCCCCAGCACCCCCCACACAAAAAAATGTTGATTTTACTTAATAACATCATGAAAATGATGGTGGATGTCATCCATGCTAGAAGTTTTAATATTTAAACCAGTTAGCCATGCTGTCCCCTTGCCTTTCTTTGTAGTTTTCATTACGACTATCTTTTAAACATTCCTTCTTATTTTACCCCTTGGCTGTTAAGCTGACAGTTCTTCCTCAAGCCCTGCAGTAGGAGGTTTTGCGTGTCCTTTGGTCTCATGTTCCTTCTGAACTTGCTTCACTTGTTCCACCTCCAGGCCAGGCTTGCTCAGCTTATCACTGCTGCCATTTGGGATGGATGACTTTGTTGTGGGATTGCTCTGCACACTGCAAAATGCTGAACAGTATCCCACCCACTAGATCCTAGTAGCAAAAATGTCTTCAGATGCTGCCAAGTGTCTCCTGGGAGGCAAAACTGGCCCTGGCTGATAGGTAAACACCCTGTACCACCATATACCAAGCTAAACAGAAAGCTGTGCCCACAAAACCTTCCCTGAGGAACTGAAGTGGTCTTGTTCTCCAAATATGTCTTTCTCTGGCTTCAGGTGCCTGCCTTTCATTATGTGGCAGTAATCTCCCTCCATGCCCAGATGGGGACTCTGGGCAGGTGCTTGGTTATTCTAGCTTCTCCTAGCTGCTATCCATCTCACAGCTGGATCTGTCGTGACCATACCCTCACTTGCTGCATAGCCCCACAGTTGATTTATACTCCTGTTATCTGTCTTTAATTACACAGTTATTCTATCTCAAGTGATCACTTCATTCTAAATACAACTTAATGGACTTTCTTCCTGGCTTGCTTAACAGCATTACTATAATATCAAGCCAACAGCTCTCATTTTTTTTCCAGATCTTCTTTCCAAAGTAAACCATAAATTGTCCCACTCCTTAAGCTTACATCATATTCCTTTGTCCCTGGCATTTAGATCACTGAAAAAAATGTCATTTGGAGCCATCCCCAGTATGTTTATAATCAAGTTTCCCATAGCACAATTCCTAAGTGGTCACTTACTGACTGTACCCTGTAATGGATTTACACAATCTCACTTAAATCTCAAAACTCTGAGAAATAAGCACAGAAAATTTCAATGGCTCTGTGATTTGTCCTATCTCATGTGTAAATTTTTATATGTATCTTTTCTTCTTATTGTGGTTTGCTCTGGGCTCTTCAGCAAATCCACAAAGAAAGAGAAATATCCAAAATATGTCTGATTTTCTTCTCTTCCTCTCTATGGAAACATCGTTTTTCTTTTCTTTCTAAAGTTTAATTTCCTGATTTTAAAAAGAAATTTGCCGATACAAATATTTCATTTGGTAAAGTTCATTTCTGATCAGCAATACCAAATTCTGGATTCATTCTAACCCAAACTCAAAAAGTAAAACATTTTGAAAATTTACAAATTTAATTTGCAATTTCTTCTCTTAACCTTAGTTGTACTCAATCTGGTTCCCACCTCTTTTATTGCTTCATTTAATGCTGTAGCATTGTAGGGCAATTAATTTGGATATGGGACCTGAGTTTAAATTTCACTGGTGTCACTTACACATGCTGTACAGATTTAGGCGGATTATTTGATCTCTCTGAGCCTTGGTTTACTCATCTGTAAAAGTGAGATAACATTTTTCCATGTTTACTTCTCAGCGTTTTGTGAAGGTAAGTAAAATTGTGTTAAAATAAAAGATTTTGTGGACTGTAAACAATTTTTGAGAGTAAAATTTTTWAAATTTATTTCCTTTTCATCACCTTCCCACATTTCTCAGCTCTCACCCACAGCTCACAGCTTTTCTTCCTTTTAAAATCATCTCAATTCAAATTTAAATGAAAACCTATCAAACCTGACAGTGCTTCATCCAAAAGATAGCATTAAAATTTTATGGGTTCAAAGTAGCCTGTTCATGAATGATAAAGACAATTATTTGGGATATGAGATGGGAACCATTATAATATCAAGCATTAAATGTGATGCCACTTTAAAAGCAGTGTTAGTAATTATACAGTGCATGTCTCACTCTTCTCAAGTGAGCATTTACCTTTTCTAATTCTTGATCTTGCCGATTCATAAGTGTTTTCCAGTGCTCATAAAGCTCAACATCTTTGGTCTGAATGTCTTTCAAAGTTCCTTCTCTCAGCACACTGCCATCCTTCATGGCTATGATCTAAGGAGAGTGCATATAAGCAGACATGGGAGGAAAAAAGCTTTAAATGACCGCATAAATGGCTTTATTTCAGAAAGCATTTCTTCACATCTCTGTTACGTGTCTGTAATATGAATATAACGCAATTCTCACCCAGTCAGCATGTGTCAGGTATTGTAATTTGTGAGTCACGAGAACAAGTGTCCTTTTGTCATCTTGGAGAAATTTCAAAATCCCTTCCTGCATTAAGTGATCACTCAAGTGAATGTCCAGGGCAGAAAATGGGTCATCCTGCAATCAAGTAAATGGAGGAAGATGAACATTTTCCACACTCTTTATGTAACTCAGTTCCTCTCTAGAGTAGACATACAAATAACAAAGGACCAATTATCTCCAAAGCAAATTTATAAAAAATAGACCTTGTATGACTTTAGTCAGAAAAATATATTAACTTACAAACGGGGCTTTCATTTTCTCTTTCACTTTAAAAAACACTTAAAAAGTAAGCAAGGATGTTCTAAGTGATTTGATATCTGATAGAATCTTCAAGTTAAAAAACCACATTACTCAGCAACCAACAACAATAGACCAAAGCAAAGACTGAAAAGATAATTGGAGCATCTGAGTTCTAGATAATTAAGATGGGCATAGAAAATGCTAATTGTACACAACTGGACTTAATGGGGTTGCTTTTATGACCAAATAAGGTGATACACATTAAATTCTTTGTACKAAGAGTATAATAAACACTAGACAAATGTCAGTCATTATTAGGTACAAAAGTAATATGCTTAACACTGAATTAATGCCAATCATACGGGGAAGAGTTTTCATGCACTAAGTGATAAAGACATTTAAAAAACGATTTAGGAAATTATGGTTATTGACTTTAGTGATGACGTTACCTATGAMTAACATTTTATTCCTATAATGTGATAGCATTGGATTGCATGGTTTCATTTGTTGAGGAATTTAAAAGAAGAAAATTAGAAATCACTGAAGAAAACTTTCTTCTTTTTTTTTAARTCATTTTTTTTCTAAAGAAAACTTTCTAGTTTTCTCAAAACAATGAATTGCAAAGCAAAATGATCTGTATGGATGGATGATGGTGCAGAAATATATAATTAACTGTCAGAAGCACCAGTAATGGAAAGGGATGAAGGAAGCTGAGGGGTGGCTGAAGGAACAGAGCAGTACAAAATRAGAGAGGTTTTTGGTAAGGAACTGAGAAGAGTGACTGCAATCTTGTCTTTTTCATCGCCTCACACCTATTTCATTGCTGTAATAATATGCAAATTTCTACTTTGTCATGTGGTCCCAAGAAAATAGTGGTTGGATTTTCATTCTAATGCAGATAGGTTACCTATTTCAATATTTATAAATTATAATCCTGGAAAAATTTGGAAACAATTTGGCACCAGTATATTCTCTATATAGATAGATACTATTGGCTCATTATGTAGACAATGCCAAATAAAAGCAATTTCTAATTAGATGGAAATTGATATTTGGAAGTTAGTATAAATTTATGTAGGGGCTGGGGTTGTGGCTCAGTGGTGGAGTACTGCGTGAGGCACTGGGTTAGAATCTCAGCACTGCATATAAATAAATAAAATGAAGGTCCATTGACAACTAAAAATATTTTTAAAAAGAATAAATGTATGCAGGTGGTCATTACTGGTAGTGACATAATCAGCTCAATAGTTTTTCAACTCTCCACCAATCTCTGCCTGTATAGACAGAATCTTTAAGCAATGTGGCCTTATTAAAGTATTTAGGAGAAGCCTTATAAAAATAAATAGGAGTAAAGCATTTAGATAGTTAAAGGGTGATTCAAAATTGATAATAGCCTTTTAAAAATCTGTCTGTCTAGGGCTGGGGATATGGCTCATTGGTAGAGCATCTCTGGGTTTGATCCCCAGTACTGCAGACAGAAAAAAAAATCAAATCTACTGGATATCATAGTTACAATGCTAGTTAAATGGGTGACATAACTAATGTCCACAAAAGGCTTTTATAGAAATACATTCAGCAACAGAAGTTGGACATAACTTTCCTATGTTCATATATGAATACATGACCAGTGAAACTCCACATTATGTACAACCACAAGAATGAAATCCTAATTAGAATATGTATGTTCCATGTATGTATAATATGTCTGAATATACTCTAATGTCATGTATATCTAAAAATAACAAATTAAAATATTATATATAAAGAAATACATTTAGCAACAGAGAGATACTTGTAATTATTTGGCTGATTTAATCCATTTATATCATGGACTATTGTGATAATGTGAGAGTTGAAGAAAATTGTCATTATAGCTGCACACTCATACACATATATAATTTTACTTTCTTTGTACTTAAAAATGATAACAAAACAAAATTGACTTAAGGACAGTTATCTTGATCTGAAATTTATTTGGATGATACAGATCAGACCCTCTAGATATATCAGTTATCAATTATCTTCAGAATGTTCCAAGAAGTAGTATGTATAAAAGATTGAGTTGACTTTTTACTGCTCAGTGCATTGCTTTTTAAAATCATCTCAGACACTAGCTCCTCATCATTTAACTCCTAATTATGATGAAAACAAAATATATGAATTTTCTTATTGTTAGATTTTGGGTAAGTGATAGAATTCTACTGCTTAAATATATGGCTTTTCTTTTAACACAGCAGTCATAATGGAACTTCTGAATTACTTAAAAATGAAAATTCAGGCATCAGTACAAAGTGTTGCAGGGTAAGATATTTTCACAGCAGTATAAAATAGTTATCACTGTTTCAAGCTCAAACAATGCATTCATCTCCATCCACAACAATGCAGCAAGGTTTTGCTACTAAGATTTGTTTTACAGCAAATTACTGCTTTTAGGAAATCAGATAATCATCATGGGGTAACTTGACTGCTTTTGAGACACATTTTAGTTTCTCATTAAAAAAAAAAACCCTAGGAACCTTGTTGATACAGGCCAAACTATAATTCTTTCTGAGAATTTCTCACATATACTAAAAATAAGACATGAATTATAAATGAGTTTTTATAATTTAATTTGGTTTTCATAAAATTCTGGCTTTAAATGTTATAAGCTAGCAAGGGGTAATGAAAAGTTCATTATTTCTAAATTAAAGGACCCTAAATTGTAGTTCTACACTGGGTAATGCTTCAAACTGTCATTTCATTAGTATAATGAATAAGAGATATATTATTATGCAAACAAATAATAATGAAGAGACTAGGGAGAAAGTACATCAGATCACTACAAAGAGCCAATAAAATAGTGTAGTGTGGTGGTATACACCTGAAATCCCAGTGGCTCAGGGGGCTGAGATAGGAGGATTGAGAGTTCAAAGCCAGCCTCAGCAACAGAGAGGCACTAAGCAACTCAGTGAGCCCCTGTCTATAAATAAAATATAAAAATGGGCTGGGGAATGTGGTTCAGGGATTGAGTGCCCCTGAGTTCAATCCTTGGTACCTCCACCCCACAAAAAAAGAGATTCAATAAAATATTGTAGTAAAAGTCTCTACAAATMATTTTAAGACTGTTTTTTTTAGTTTTACTTTCTGATAAATAAAGCCACAGTGGATTAATATTGTGCTTATTCCTTCAATGCATCACAGTAAGACTTTTGTCTTCTGAGAATCATTTAAAAAGAAAGTGTGGTGATTAAGAGCACAAGCTATGACCTGAACAGAGAAGGAAATAAATAATAAGAGAGTGAAGAGAGAACCTAGAGAAGAGAAGATCTTTGCCAGCTGATCCTCTGATAAGGGATTAATATCTAAAATATAAAAAGAATTCAAAAAGTCCAACAACAACAAAAAAAACTAATAACCCAACTAAACAGACACTTTTCAAAAGAAGAAATAGAAATGGCCGACAAATATATAAAGAATCGTTCAACATCTTTAGCGATCAGGGAAATGCAAATCAAATCTACATTGAGATTTCATCTCACTCCTGTTAGAATGGCAATCATCAAGAATACAAATAACAATAAACGCTGGTGAGGATGTGGGTGGGGGAAAAGGCACACTCATACATTCTTGGTGGGACTGCACATTAATATAATCACTCTGGAAAGCAATATGGAGATTCCTCAAAAGGCTCAGAATAGAACCACCATAGGACCTAACTACTCCACTCTTTATTAATGCTAAAGAACTAAAATCAGCATACTATAGGGATGCAGCCACATCAATGTTTAAAGCAGCACAAGTCACAATAACGATAAGTTATGAAACCAGCCCAGGTGCCCATCAACAGATAAATGAATTTAAAAATGTGGTATGTATACACAATAGAGTTCTACTCAGCTATAAAGAAAAAAATGAAATTGTCCTTTGCTGATAAATGGATAGAATTGGAGAACATTATGCTAAGTGAAATAAGCTAGATTCATACAGTCAAGGGTTGAATGTTTTCTCTCATATGTGAAATCTAGACCAAAATAAGGAAAAACAAAAGTGGGAGGTTCCCATGAAAACAGAAAGTAGATCAGTGGAGTAGAGGAAGGGGACTGAAGGGGAGMCTGGTGGGATAGGAAAAGGGAAGAACTTTGGAATTAACCTGACCAAACTTTTCTAGGTACATATGTGAATATACCACAGGGACTTTCACCTCCATGAATATATAATTTAAAAAACTTTTTAAAAATGTACCATGAAATCAAGCCCCCACCCCCAGATTTATATCCCTGCATCACTATTACCATCTGTGTGACCTTGGATACATGTAYCCCCAAAAGCCTTGTTACCATTACCAATACAGAGAAGTAACAATACTGACAACAAATAATAACCAAATCTAATGGGGTTATTGCATACATCAAGTGAGCTAATGTGTATCAAGTACTGAGGATCATACCCAGGTGATAGACAGTCATTAGTAATGACAGGTATCATCTCTACTCCATGGCTTCATTGTGGCACATCTTGGCATTGTAGTCAAATGTAACCTTTTGAACAACTTAATGAAAACTCAGGCTTGATGGATTGAGAAGCATATCTCAAGGTTGTCTGTATATTCATATCTTGGGGAGATACTTCCTTTAAAGAAGGCAAGGAAATTTGCTAAATGGCCAATTCTATGAATGTCCCATTCTTCATTTTCAAGAGTATTTTTAAAATGTTTTTTAATGATTATTTTTTAGGTGTAGTTAGACACAATGCTTTTACTTATTTGTTTTTTATGTTGTGCTGAGGATTGAACCCAGGGCCTCACATGTGCTAGCAAGTGCTCTAAGGCTGAGCCACAACCCCAGCCCAAGAGTATTTTATTTTAATATATATATATATATATATATATATATATATATATATATACTTTTTATAAATGTATTCTCTTCAGTATTCAATTAATATATTTAAGCAAAATATTTTTATGGATATGGATTTTTAAAATTTTTTTTATGAAATATATTAATTGATATACACAGCATATTTGCAGATGCCATAAGTTTTCAAAAATAACTAATAATCTAGATACATAATTCAGATGTTTTCATATGGCTTTGATGATGTGTTAAAGCTAACACGACACAGTTTATTTAGAGAAAAATATAAAACTATTTAAATGATTATTTTACAAATAAGATCCTTAAAGAGAGAATAATGACTTTATTGCCTTTGTTTCCTCTCACCCAGCATAGAAGATGAAACTGATTGATGGAAAAGAGAAAGGAGGAAGGGAAGAAGAGAGGGAATAGGTAAATCTAGAAGAATGTAAATTAAGGCAAACTATGACAAGAATATTAAAATGTTGAACCATGGCTGCATGAAATTGTTACATTTGTTATTGCAAAAGCATAAAGAGAATCAATAAATGGAAAATATTCAGAAGCAAATTTAAATCACATTATAACTTTCCAATAATAAGAACTGTCTGTTTTGGGATAATGGCCCCTGTCGATGCCCATGTCCTACTTCTTAAAACCTGGGGCTACATTATAGATGTGATGAAGATGAAAGACCTTAAGATAGGGAGATTATCCAGATGAACCCAAACCAACTACAGGATTCCTTAAAGTAGAGAATTTTTCTGCATGGGGAGAGAGGGATATGTGAGTGGTCAGCAAGATACAATCATGCTGACTTTGAAACCAGAGGAAGGCAACTATGAGCTGAAGAATACAAGCGGCCTCTAGACACTACAAAAGCCAAGGAAACGAATTCTCTTCTAGAGCCTCCAGAAAGAACACAGACCTGCTGACACTTGGTTGGACTTCTACACTACAGAACTGTAAGATGCAAGATTTGTGCTATTTAAGTCATCCGTTATAGTAATTAGTTATAGCATCACTAGGAAATATATATACTGTCCAACAAGGGAAAGGATGCCTGAAAGATAAGCAGTGTATCTTCAGAGTGATCAAGAAGCTGGTAAAGATGAATGCTAAAAGTATCCTGCAATGAATGTTTGGGAATCCAAAATAAATTAACCTTTTGACAACTTTAAGTYCAATAATTTGACAACTGATGTCAGTGTTATTAAATTTCAGGCAATAGAATGAACTGGGATATAAGATCATACCCAGAGGACCTTTTGATTTCCAAGTCTGCAATYCTCATATGGTACTGATCCCAAGTTTTAAAAACTCATTTCCAATTGTGGGTCCAGCCATTATACAAAGGATGTACAACTACCTAGGTAGCTGCTAGATCCTGCTGTGGCATTTACTTATTTATTTATTTTAAATTTCAGAGACAGGTGTTTTTAGAGGCTTAYGCTGAAATGAATATCCAGAGTGTCCCAATTCTTCAACTCTCTCAAGTAATGTAAATTCAGTGAGAAACCCCAAAGTTAATCTACATTTTGAATAGGTTCTAAAGATAAGATGGAATGAGGACTCTAAATAAGGTCTAAAACTCAGATTTATAAATGGTTAACAGTTGCCCAGGGAAGGATGTATTTACATACTCTACTTGTCTCTAACATATATTCACTACCTATCAACTTAGTTATTTTACCTACTGCCTCCTGGAGGAACAAAAATAGACCAAAACTATAATCAACATAATCACAAAGTTTTGAGAATCTGTGGTTAGAGACAAACTATGAACCCAGGATAATCATGAGAATCATCCACGGAGATTTTTAAAGACAGATTTTAGACTCTTCCTTTACTGCTTATGATTCAGGTAGAGCCAAGATTTCTATAGTTTGAGGCGGCATCAAAGRCAATCTTACCTATAGCCTGAGTTGCATACCACTGGAATGCAGTACTGTGCTTAATCACCCCGTGCCCATCAAGGATATATTTTTTAGCCTTTCTTTCTTTGTCATTGAATATAAATGAGAAGACGTGTGATTCTGCCCAGTGTATCCAATATCATTCAAATTCCCTCATTAATGATCCTCCTGGTCAAGAAACTCAGATAAACCCCACTTAGAGCACCACAGTCCTTGGACACCAAGCTGAATTCCCAAATCTCAACTCTCCATGTCAATCTTGCACTGATTTGTGCCATACGGATTTGGTTCACTTGTATGCTCTATGATTTCACAAGTTAAACCATTTTCTCTTAAGTTACTGGACTTTTCTTTGCAAAGACTCTCATTGGTTTAGATGGAAAAATGAAATATAAATAAAAGATAGGACTATTTTCTTACCAAGAAGACAATGTTGGTGTTTTGATAGAGAGCTCGTGCCACACAGATTCTTTGCCTCTGCCCCCCACTCAGGTTGATGCCCTAGTGAAGAAACACCCATTTTTTTTATTAGTAAAAAAAGAAAAAAAAWTTGTTAGCAAAAAAATATCCTTAGAATACAAAAGCCTCTAAATATTTTAATTGTGGTTGCATTGGTAAGAAAAAATGAAAACTGCCTAGTGGTAAATGATTGAATTATTTCAAGATAGTTTTTGACTGTTATAATCCTCCTTTCACTCTTGACAGAGACCTCTGCTGTACAGAAGCATTAATAACCAAAACACTTGGCAAGTGCCAAAGATTACAAGCCATTTCAAAATTTTTTTCTAGTTTCCTGAGTTGTTTCTGTAGTCTACTTAATACATACCTCTTAAATTTGATATTATAAGTTATGTTAAACAGCACTATACATCAACATTCTTTCATAATTAAGTATTAATTATAAACATTTAAAAAACTTGCATTCATTTAGCAGTTAGTATGCACCAGACTTGTATAAATGGCTTTACATTTCCTATGTCTTTTTTTCCTTATAGCAATTTCAACATGTACATCTTGTTCTCACATTACACATGTTGAAACTGAGGCTCAGAAAAGTTMAGTCAATCCTCTTAAATACTGTATTATACCGCAATAAAGAATAGTCATTAAGAATAAAGATGACAAAGTTACAATAATCCTGGCAGCACTCCTAACTTTGCACTTGGGCAAGTTCCTTAACTCTTCTCAGTCTTGGTTTTCTCAGCTGTAAAATGTAGAGAACATTAACACCCATAACACAGATTTGTTGTCAAAGTTGATAATGCATTTACCCAGCACTTGATACCTCTGAGGGTTAAAAACTTTTAGCCAATAATGTCACAAATATTGCAGGTATAAACATTTTTCAGGAGGTCAAAATAGCATGACGTCAATGTAAAGTATGTTTACAGGAAGAAAAAAGAACACTTCAATAAGAATAAATAGATGTTGACAAGAGTGGAAGAAGCTGTCGGAAGCAATCTCAGTTTCCAAAGCAATGAGAGTAAACTCCAAGTAAGGAAAAACACATTTGGTCAAAGCAGGGATGTCTTTTACTTTCCTTGAGAATTCCCGAGTGGTTAGCACAACATTGTTTGGTTACTTAATAAATACTTAAGGGACAGTGGCATCAAAGGATTCCTGTCCTCACATTTTGGAATTTGTCAGTAGGACAACAAGCAATTCCTAAGCTCTCAAAGTTCATTATGCTCCACTAAGAAACAAAAGGCTTTTCTAGAAATTTGTCCATTGATTAAACAAACTATACATAGCTTACCCTCTCTCCAATTTCAGTTTGGTCTCCAAATGGTAATAAGTCAATATCTGGCTGAAGAGAACAGGCATCCGTGACAGCTTTGTACCTTTGGGGGAAATGGTTTTGAATTTTTAACCATTTTTAATACATTGCCCATAAACAAACTCTCAGGTTCAATAATGTAGAAGCCATAATAGACCATTTACTGAACAATTTAATATATACTAGCCTCTAGGCACGGTTTGTGGATACAAAGATAAACAGGCATAGGTTCCTATTCTTCTCATCACAAAAATAATAGCAATGGAATTAATAATGCATATGTTAAATAGTTAGATTTAGTCATCCCACAATATGTACATACTTTGAGATTTCATGTTGTACACGACAAGCACATATAACTCTGCTAATTAAAAAAAATGTTCAAAGCTAGAGTACAGAGCAGAAGACTGACACAAAAACTTAATAAAATGTGCCTTGTGAAGTACAATTAGTGGAGGTGGGTCCTTATCATTCCTAGAATATAAGGAAGAAACAACTAAATGATTTTAGAAGATACAGGAAGTAACGCTTAAACAATATCCAGAAAGGTGAGCAGTAATCCTCCAGGAAGACAATGTGGTGAAGGAAGATCAAGGGATTTCATAAGGTAAAAAGGTTACGGATACACACTAGGGACAACAGGAGGGTCACTGTGGCTAGAGCTGAGGCTGCAAGTGGGTGTCCATGCGTTTGTCATGTACACTGAAGGGAGCAGAAGTAGAAAGCAAGGAGGATTGATAGATAGCACTCAAGCTGATTTGAGGCTGCAACAGGGAAGCGGATGAGTTGGAAGGGTAGGAGAGCCTGGGAGTTGGAGATGGTTGGGGAAACATGGATTGTTTTGTTTTCTTAGTCCCGAGTCTTAAAACATTTAGGTCATTCTTGGTTATTCCATCTCCCATGTCTCCTCGTGTTTGTCTATTCTTACTCTAGAATGTTTTTTTCTCAACCATCCATTCTTTCACATTTCTTTTATCACCCCTAAATTCAGGTGCCACGCTGCATGCCTGGGTGATTATTCCCACTAATTTTGAAATGTTTCCTTGCTTCCAGTTCAGAATAAATCTGTGTCTGCATCTGTCATGTTTTACTTCCAGATTAAACATCATATTCACCTTGCTATCCCCCTACCTAAAGCTTACGGAGCCTCCCCAGAATACACACAATGATAGCCACTTAGCTTTTATGTCCTCTAGGAGCAAATCTCAGCCTTCGGAATCCCCATCTGTCTGCCTTACTCCCAGGCCCCCAGAAAACCCATGTAATTTGTTCTTCCACTGCCTGCCTTTTCCTTCCCTCCCCTTATCTTCAGACCCACCCACCTTCACCTCTGAAGGTGACTCAGTAAAGGGTTATATGTTTCAGGGAATATGTTTGAGAGAGAGAATATTCTGGCTGTTCCTGTCACTAGATTCTCATCCCAAACCCTTCTGTCCACTGTTAACTCCCCTTCTGCACCTTACCGGGATTTTCCCTTCACTGTTATTTGCTTCCATAACCTAAGCAAGTCCCCTATCCGACACACACTTAATATCTTTATTTAGTCTTGGTGTATTAACTGTTCCTGATCAGGTTCTAGGATAGGTTGGAACTTCCAAAGAGGATGTTCTTAAAAGAACTGATTCAAAAGACTTTGGTGGGAATGAAAGTGGGGCAAGCAGTCCCAAACAAGAAGGTTCTAGAAACCATGGATCAAATGCATRGATTAGAAATAATTGTACTTTCAGTTCTAAATTTAAACATGCAAAATTACCTCTGTTTGTTGAAAGGACTTCCAAAGGTAATATTTTCTTCTACTGTAGCATTTAATAACCAAGGCTTTTGTGCTGCATAAGCTACAGAATACCTGTTCCTACTGGAAAATGGAAAAGAAAAATAAAACACTGAAATTATGCAAGGTGCAAAGATTTTAGCATAACTAAGAAAAAGAAAAGTTGACAAAACATCTCAGACCCAGAAATGGGAAATTTTTAAAAGAGAAAATTTCAAAGACCACCAATCTTATGAAGATATGATTAAATAAGCCACCTAAATTAAAGGGATTATAATTTAACCAAATTGTCATCTAATGTATAAAAATTGACTGTACTATACTGATGAAGTGTTTTAAGGAATGAACTACTAATTGAAATTGTCTTTTCTAAGATGCTTATAATTTTTAAATAATTAAAAGATTAATAACAATTCACTCTCCAAAAGCCACAGATATTTTACTTTACATTAGAAGTACTTTATAGAACTGTGAATTTTATATGTAGACCTTTAAAAAGGCATTAATTAATGTTATAATTATAGTATGTATTTGTTGCTTAATTACACTAACATATTTTAAGGTAATAGGTTATATATAATAAAGAATAATAGATTGAAGAGCCCATTTCAGCATTGAAATTATACATTTTAAAAGTACATATTTCAAAACATATTGAAATAGTTTATTTTAAAAAATAACTTCCTCCTCTCCTTTCCATTTTTTTTTTTGCTTGAAAATTGTACCAGATGTCTATACATCAGACTTTAATTTGCAATAATTAGGAAAATACATATGAGCTAAAGATAAAGAGGATGGTGGGACGAGGTGGGGAAGGGATCAGATCAGCTTACAAGTCAGACTTCCACAGTTAGTTCATGATCTGTAAGTACTAATGAAGGAATTAAAGTTAAAGGAGAGTAAGGTTAAAAAAGAGACATTACAAATGCTCAGTGATCATCATGGACCATTTTAGGATTAGAAGACATGATAATGCATGGTATGCTAGCCGTCTTTCAGACGATTATATATACAGTGAAACAGCGGTTCCCAAACTCTGACATGTCAGCCACCCTTTCCCCTGGTCTTCAAGGTATGTTTTAGTTTTTGTTTTATTTTGTTTTTTTTTTTTTTTCCTGGATGGGGATTAAACCCAGAGTCTCATGCATGCTAAGCATGTACTTCAGCACTGAGCTCAGCCCTGAGCTTCCTGGGGCTTTTTAGTTTGTTTTTTAAGTAGATACAGCACTTGCTCAACATCTCTACTTTTAGGCAGACCTTATCATTGTTTGACTCCCACAGTCAACATATGCATTAATTCCCACATTTTTATTTTATGAACTCTCAAACCTAATTTAACAAGGACAGTTTGAGTTTTAGCCAAAGTAGACATCATGTGGCTCACTGAGATGAAAACAAGGCCACAAGGAGCCATTTTGTTTCATCAGTGAATTCTTTTAGTAGCCTGTAAGGTTGGGAACCACTGCTGTTGCAAATATGCTGGCACATTAGAAGAACTGTATGTCATCAGAAAGAACAATGACGAGGAGTAAGGGATTAAAGTAAAGACTAAGGAAGGAAGTTATTCTTATTAAACTCAGGTTAAAATAGAAATAATACCTTCTGGTTGCTTCAAAAGAAGGCTCAGATTCATTTACACTGCAAGTATGGCAAACAATGTTCATTAATTATGAAGTATAAATACAGAATGAATATGTGTACATATCAGGCAAGGGATAAAATAAACATTGGAAATATTAAACAGCTTACAGACAAACCAGATTTAAAACAACAACAACAACAACAACAAAAAAAAAAACTTCTTCTTTTATGTCTTCTTCAGCTAGGAAAAAACTATTTAATAAGTTTCCAAAACATAGATAACAATGTTATCCTTTGTAAAAATTCTGGTGCATACAATTCCAACTCTGTTATAATTAGTTGTGGAAATTTGGGTAATCTCTGTAGAATAAAGGTTTCTAGTTTCATAAGGACTCTACATTTCCAGCATTCCCCTACTTTTAAATTTTGAATTTAATATGTTTAAATTTATAAGTAACTACCTTAAGGCATGAATAGAAGAAATATTTGGGGTGTTTAACCATAGAAGATACAAAAAAACACAGCTGGCTCACAGAAGCTTGTAAGAAAAACAGATATATATGGTATGTCTAACTACAATATCTGAATATCATAATTATATGACTTATGTAAAAAGTCAGGTCGGACTAATTGCATTTAGTTATACCTATGAGGAAAAAATTTATTTGTTTTATTATCCTAATTTTAATAACAGATTCTGTTGAGTTGTATCATTCTGAAGGATATGAATTTAATAATCACACATATGTTTAAGCCTATAGGAACTACAAAAATAAATCCTATTTGTGGAAAATATCATATGCTTTATGTGATGAAAATTTACCTAATGGCATTATGTAGTGATATTTGGTTTAGAATTTTTAAGGACTATTTTCCCTATTGCATACTACTAATGACATCTTGGTATAGATGATGGAGACAGGAAGAAACTATCTCAGACTAAAAATTCCTATCAATAATGATTATTCCCTTTTTCAGGTTATCCATAAAAAATCAAGTAATGAAATACTCAATTCCCTAGCAATATTTTCTACAGAATATGCTTTAGAGACAAAGACATTTAGATTTTATTTTTTAAAAAGCTATAAAAAGCCTCAATAGTTTTAGCTAATCTGAAGAAGAGAGAGAAGTAAGGAGGAAGAGCAGGCGTGTAACAGAAATTAATGGGTTGGTTTGCATATTGATTAACCAGGTAGAAAGGCTCATCCCACATTTGAAAATGTCATCCCAGGCTGGAGACATGGATTTGAAAGTCATGAACTTACTCAATAATGACTGATTAAAGTCCAGCTATTTTCAATACTAATTAAAATATTTATTAATCTCCACCTTGTATAAAGAATACTAGAAATACAGTGGGCTAGGAGGACCATTCCTTCTTTCTTGCTATTTCACTTTTGGGGGGAAGTCCAACTCCCTCCAAACACTAAGGAAGAAACACTAAGATAGGTGAGGTACAGGGCAGTACTGGATCACAGATACCCAAGCCACTTCTGACTCATCAGGGTAAATAGCAGAACTAATGGCAGAGGAATAATTCAGAGTGGGTTAGATGAATAAAAGATCCATAGTACTTTAGGCTAGAGAAAATACATATTGGATGGCCATCAGGTTTCCTGCTCAGACAAGGAATGGATATAAATTCAGCATGGCTAAAATGTGTGTTTAAGTMAAGAAAAGGAATTAATAAACTTAAAAAGTTAAGCAAGCCAGATAATGAAGGTGCTTTTAAACCATTTTAGAAGACTTGAGCTTTTCCTCAGAGCAACAGTAAATCACTGGAAAGGCTTAATCAGGAGAGAGAGAGAGAAAGGTTCTGTTGAGAGACATTACTCCCATTGCGGAAGGTAACAAGTGAATTGGAGGGAATAAGACTGGAGGTGATGCAGAGACCACTGGAGGCTGTCAGGGTATGAGGATAAGAAGGCAGTGCCCCTGATCAGAGCAATGGAGGGAGGGAGACCACACTGAGAAAGCTAGCATTGCGACTGATTGGAGGGAGAGACTGAAGAAGAACAAGGAGTCAAGAGAAAAAAGAGAAAGTATCCATGGTGGTAAKAGAAGGTGATAGAGCAGCATTTAACTTGTTCAGTGCCTAAGAAACAACCAAATGACCACTGCCGGGAAGCAGAATTTCAAACTCAAGAAAGAGATCTGAGAGGCAAATGAAAAACTTTGGAGTGATTTTCTTTCACAATATATATCTTGGATACTAAAACTTTGGATTCCATCCTTTATTAGTAAAAAGCTCGTGTAATGGCTCTTGTTTCATAAGAGAATAAAAGATCAGGAGCAGAGAGTGAAAACTAAAATCAGAGGAAGTGTGTGTACCCAGTATGTGCAGAAGTAGAAAAGGATAAATACTGAATCCTGAAAAAATGTCACTGCTCATCAAAATGGCTCACCAAGAGAAATCTGGAGAAGAAATCAAGAGGAGTAGGCAAAATTTTAAGAGGTAAATTGGACTGTAAATTTTATTGGAAACGAAGCAAGGAGACCTTTTGAGAAGAAAGGTATTGGTAATGATGTCAGTGGCCAGAGGTCAAGGAAGATAATGGCTAGAAAGGTTTCAATGAGCTACATGCCAAGATGCCATTGATGGCTTGGATAAGAGTAGTTTTATTGGAGTAGTAGAAGTAGARACAGACTGCAGTGGACTAAGGTGAAAATAGAAAATGAAGAATTGGATATGATGTTGCTTTATCTACCAAAGGAAAGGAATGGAGGGTAGCTGCAGTAGGCTTTGGGTCAAAATTAAAAAGATAGATGGTAGATAGGTGGATAGATGACAGATAGATAGATAGATAGATAGATAGATAGATAGATAGATGCAAGAGTCTTCTTAGCTACAAACAGAAATGGGGTAAAAGCTAGAAACTGGACCATGTATGAAGCAGATAAGGAAAGAAAGACAGCAAGCTGTGGCTTCAGCGTCTCAGAATCTAGTAAGGAGACCACATTACATTTTAATAATTTCAATMAGGAGCAGAAAGACCAGAAAATGAAGTATTTTCAAGTCCTGGTAGGATAAAAGAAGACTTTGCTAAGGAAATAAACACCCGACTTGACAACAGAAGAAAGAAGGAGGCTGGAATATGTGCTTTGAAGGGACTACCCTCAGTTCATGCGCCTGGAGCACAGTGTCAAGGGTGGGTGGAATGAATGGCAGAAGAGCAGCTGTAAAAGTTAAACAGGGTCCAGGTCATGAAAGGTGTTTGGGACATTTCCCATATTCTTTTCTCTGTCAGTCAATACAAGATTATAAGCTAGAGGGAAGTAGTTAGAGTTTCATGTCAGAAAGGTAAATCTGCCAACAGTGTGCAGAAAAATTAAGAAGCCAGTAGAGTGAGCAGTCCACATTAAGTGGTATGTACCTGAACTAGGGAAACTAAAATAGATACAGAAATGTAAGGATGGGCATCAGAAAATTGGAAGAATGGAGATAGTAATTGGCTAGATTTTGAGGGTGATGGAAAGTGGAGTCTAGGTTGATGCATCGAGCTCTGACTTAGGCCCCCACCAACTGATTTTAGGGGATAAGGATATAGCCTAATCAGGAAACAGGAGGAGAAGCAGGATTTGGAGATATGAGGGATAGAATTTCAGTTTGCAGGTATTGAATCTGCAGCTTGTATAAGCCTTTTTGGAGAGCTATTGGGTCTTCAAAAGGAAGATTGTCTCAAAATGTATAGTAGGTATTATTAGTACTTAGAGAATGAATATCAGAATCAAAGTCATAATTTAAAGGATAATTGAAGGAGTTCCTGTTGTCTATAGTAGACTCAGAAAAGCAGTCAAAAGGATGGAAGGAGAATTAGAGTATTCTTCCACTTCTTTCATCACAACTTTTATTGCAGCTCCCAACTTTCTTACTCATTGATTTGGTTTACAGTTAAAATGCAAGGTCAAATGGTCATTAATTTATTCACCTCCCCCTAAGAAATTCCTTCTTCTCCCTATTCAGTTAGGTCACCCATTTTGTTTTTATAAAATCTTGTACTTCTCCTTCTTGGTATTTATATAAAAGAATAATTAAATATATATWTTTTTTCTTATTTTCTCATGGTCTTCTCTGGCAAACAGTAAATTTCCATGAAAATAGGGGCCTGGCTATCCTTATCCACTTATTTGTCCTCTAACAACTAATATCATGTAATAGATATACAATAAATATTTTTGGTAAGTGAATAAATGAAAGTGTCATGGAAATCAAGAAATGAATTGGTTTCCAGGAGTCGTGAGTGGTGAAGTGTTAGAAGCTATGAAGAAGTTTAGTAGGTTTSAGAACTAACAAGTGGGACCCAGCCCTTATGCAGGCACTGGTGAGAACTTTGTCCAGATGGCCACTCACAGAATGAAAGAAAAGAAAGGAGATGAGTGTGGTAGACTGCTCTTTTGAAAAGAGAAATGTTCCAGTTGCTTGAAAGACAGGCAAAGCCATTTTTTAATAGAGGATAATGGAGTGTGAAGAGCAAGAAGTAAAGATAAAAGTGATAATTAAAGTAGTCAGTTCTTAAAAAGGCAAGAGAGCACATAGGAGATCTTCATTTCTGAGAACTTTCCTCCAAAGTTCTGTGTATATTTTTCTTTGAGGATAAAAGTAAAATGTGCTATACATCTACTACTTTTTAGAGGAAGAAAGAGAAGGTAGATATAGATACATTTCTAAGAATTCATCTTCCATGAGCAAATTAAAAATTATCCTATTCTCTCACATTTTCCATGAGTAACATTACAGTCCTTTACTTCTGGAGATCACCTATTTCTACCCTCTCAAAAGACAATATGTTAATCAAAATCCATGTGGAAGGTTATTTTTTCCCCTTCCAAAACAAAGAAATAGAGTCAGCTCTGAATTCCAAAATTGGACCTTATTTGGTAACATRAAAATCAGTTGTTCCATGTCTAGACTCATCTTCCACCATAGTGGGGTAGTGAACAGCGCCAAAGGCAATAAGAGACAGCAAAGATGCCAAATGGAAAATCTCCTTCTGGAAAATAAGATTTCACTTCTGAATGCCTCTCCATGTAGAATTTGTGTGTGTTTTCTTCTAAAAGTTAAAGTTAAAGTTGGTTTACTAGCAACTTCCAAGTATTATGGTTGATACATTATGGAATGGAAAGTGACTTTTTCAAGCTTACTTAAGTCAGGAACAGTATTTGGAAGAAGGAAAGCTAGATGTTGACAAAAACATGATGATCCAGGAAAGTTGACTCAATATATTATTGAATTATTACTCCTTCATGCCAGCCAAAGTCACACAAAGAAGAATAACTCTTTAATTCATCTGTCTTCAAATGCTGAATCACTGTTATAAAGCAGATTGCACCAAGGTGCTAAAAGATAGAACATCAGGAYAGATGGGTCTTGAATAGAACGGCTGGTGGCATGGATGAGAAGGAAAAGAAAAACAAACATAAACATCAGCTATTTCTCACATGATTATTACACATTCTGGTTTCTCTCACTGGAACCATCCATCAGATAAGGAATGTTAGTCCTATGTCCAAAAATATTAGGTATGAAAGTATATCATGACACTCAGGAAATGACAACTTCATTCAGGTAGAACACTTGCTTTTCAACAAATGTAAAGCACACCCAGATGCAAGAATGATGTTCAAACTGGCATTCCAGCAATGTTAAAGAATATTTTAGTTCCTCTCTCCTCTCTTTCATCTTTCTCCTCTGGGTCTACAACACTCCAGATTGGGCCAAGTTATCTAAGAGGCATCTAAGAGTGTCTTGGTGTACCAGGTTCTACCCATGTAAATGGGTCTTATATGAACAGCAGTGCCTTCTCTCCTGCCAATGTAAATATTTCTCACTGCAATAGGTCAGAGAACTTTGCTGGAGTTTGCTGATGCCATTCTATAATGACACAATTGAAAATAAAACTTATGCAATCAGAGATATGTGAAATGGTGAAAGAAGAACAATTTAGTTAATTGCTTCACTTGATTTTGTGTTAAGCTTTTAAAAAATCTAAATCATCAACTTGTCAATACTGATGACTTCTAAATTAGTTGTATATTAATACTAATTAATATTTATATGCCCTTGCTTATTGAACTGGACATATAACTATTCTTTTTCTAGAATTAAAAGAGTAATCACAAATAACTCTTTAAAACAAAGTTGGGATCCTCTGAACATTCCTGATATAAAAACATGTCTTATCATATCCCTCACTCCTTCCCATGTGCCCTCTAAACCCTCAAAAAGCATTTACAAAATAAACTATGGTGATATTTTCAATTTTTAAGTTAATTGACACATGAAATCTGGTTTTGAATGATTTCTTTAGGAATACTGAGAACATTAAACATTAAATAATTTTTATTGACTTTAAAAAAATTAATATGGGAGAGATTTCTTTCATAGTTCTTTACAAAACGAGAAAATTCTTAATCTTTATTGAGTATATTTTTATTTCATCTTTTCTTCTTTGCTTCATTCCATGAAGCTCAAATGAATGTGTAGTTCACATTTTTTAAATTATACAAAACTCCAGTTCACACATTTCTATTAACTTATCAGATGATGATGATGATGATGATGATGATGATTTGATGTGGGGGATTGCACCCAGGGCCTTGTGCATGTGAGGCAAACACTCTACAAACTGGGCTATATCCACAGCTCTCAGATTATTATTTAAACCTTGTTTTCCTTCTTGATTTCTTTACCTTTATTTTGTTCACTGTATTTTAAATTAAAAAATATATAATCTTTAAAACAAGGTAGGAAATAAACGGCACATAAGCTTAAGAAAGCAAAAAAAAAACTAGATTGCATAAAATATTTTCCATATCCTCATGTCATCTGTTTATTCATTAATAAAGTAATGATAACAAGGGGAGTCAATTTGGTGTAATTGGCACTGGGACCTGGAAATAAAAGTAACACTGGAGACCTGATTATGAGAACTTCATAGAGCTATGAAAATGTGACCTCAAGCATTTTCTGTCACACAATACAATTTAATCTGGTAGGGTTTGTTCCTCATCCAAGAAGGGAGATGACAGTGGCAGGGCAAACACCTCTGAGGGCCTGAATTTAGTGATTGAYAGGAAACTGCCATGAAGCAAACTGAGGTAGCAATTACTTTCTGAGCTCTCTGCCGAACATACTGTAAACGGTTTCACTGCTACAATCTTGTAGATTTATACAATAGGGATACAATGTCCACTCAATGTTTCTCAGCCTCTTTCTTCCGTCAAAGTCACTAAAAATCAACTTTACGGTTCTACACTGATTCCAGGGCAAATTTTACATCTATGCATTTCTTTCTTTTCTTTAGTCTTTAAAATGGAATCTGTTCTAAATAGGCTTATAAATCATCTGTACTCCTTGAGGGATGTCTACATATGTAAACAGCAGACTAAGTCACAATAGGACTCATGATAGTAGGTACAAAATGACATCTAAGAATACTTGTAGGTTAGGAGCAAAATTTTACAACTTCAGCACAACTGACTTTTGGGGCAAGATAATTCCTKGCTGTGGGGACTTCCCTGTATATTGTAGGATGTTTAGCAGCATCTCTGATGCCTACTAGYTAAACAACAGCAGCCCAATTTCCCAGTTTAACAACCAAGCATGTCTCCAAATACTGCCAAATATCCCTGGAGGCAAATTACACCTCATTTAGAGTGAATAGCAGAGAGTCTGATTTCKTAAATAAGCTATAACCAGTTTCTACATATAGGAAGTCTACCATGTAGGCCAAAGTAAATAAATATGATTTAGTTTTTWAAAAATTAAAATTACTCAATTCTATGTTATTATGGTTCTAAATAATTTTATATTACCATGATGTTCTTTGAAGACCCAAAACTAACCATTTCAATAGTGAGATGACACACCATATCTCAGTTTTTACCTTTTTAGAGTTGCACAACATACTCGTCTGACCTATACATCTCTAATCAGATGCTTTTGGTGTCTACATTAAGCATGAGGAGAAATTTCTAATTCATAGCCTCTTATGAAGATTCTGAGAAACATCATTTAATATTTCTTCTCTAACTACTGAATCACTCAAGTTTTGTTTGCAAAGAAGCTTTATAAATAATGCAAGTTTCCCATAACTTATTTTATTATAAAATAAAATTTTAAGTTTTTTCTTTTAGTACTACCCATTTATTTACCTTAAAAGGTCTTTTTTATCCCCAACCTTACTGTTATCTCTACAACATACTAGTTTATACCATTATAAACCTCTATAATAATCATTTTAAAAATTTTTCTTTATGACATTTAAGGTTTCCACTAATTTTTTTTTAGAAACTGTGCTTAYTTGTAAGGGGTTCTCACACTCATAACATGGGAGTCTATTACTCTAAGTCTTTCCCTTGAAAGATTATCAGATATATAACAGAAACCACTGAAAAATACACATACTTGCTCCAGTGCACTTTCCCTTCCAAGGCCTGCATCTCACCAAGGATGGCGAGGAGGAGAGAGGACTTCCCACATCCTACTTGACCCACAATCATGGTTAACTGACCTAGAGAGACAAAACGAAGGATAATAAAGAAGATGGAAGGTAACTTTCAGCAAAATAAATTAAGACACATTTAGAAATGATGGCCCCCCAAGAGGAGAGACAACTTAATCTAGGAGACAAACCTGACAGCAGAAATTAGAAATCCACTGACTATTATCAGATGCCATCATTTGTTGTAAGAGTCGGCAAACACATTTCAAAATGGATTTGTAATTTATTAAAAAATAAAAACTCAGCTAACTGGGAAAAAAACACATTTATAAAAACACATTTAAGAAGGGCCTGGTCTGGTTTCTAGCAATAAGGTCATCTAAATAGCTCCTTTCTTGATGTATCTGTCTTTGTTGAAAAGGAAAGAAAAATTAAAATATGTAGGTCTTAACTTATTATCTTAAAATGAGGAATTGCTGAAATTGTTAAAGACTGCAATGAAATAATTTCCTAAATCATCTAGATTAGTTTTAAATTTATTATTCAATTCACTCAGGAGAAAAAGGAAGTTTTGAGTAAAATAGATAAATGAGGTGAAAGTGATTTGAACTAAGTTACTAAGACATTCCCCCTAAATTCTCACTTGGGCCTGCAGATGTTACGGAGAAGTACTAACCTACTGACTAGTAGGTCATGTCAAATAAATATCTCTATTCAATTATCCAGATATTTCAAATAAATTTATTGGCTTTATTTCTATTTTTTCTCTTTAATACTCGGGTATAAATGGTATTGTTTTCTAAATTTCCTTTATGGACAGCTTGTTGATCCTATATAACTGTTAGGAATAAACATGGCCAACAAGGAGAAAGGCTTATATACTAAAAACTACAAAACAGTAATTTTAAAAAATTGTAGACAACACAAGTATAAGTGGAAAAATATCCCATGTTCACKCATTTGAAGAATTAATATTGTTAAAATGTCCATACTTTAGAACATAAACTAGAGATTCAATGTAACCTCAATCAAAATCCCAAGGGCATTTTTAACAAAAATTGAAAAATTAACTAAAACTCATATGGAACCACAATAGATCCAAATAGCCAAAGCCATMTTCAGAAATAAGAATTCATCTGGAAACATCATAATTCTTTACTTCAAAATACAATTACAAAGCTGCAGCATTCAAAACAGTGAGGTACTTGCTACATGAAGACAAACACAGAGACCAAGGGAACAAAAGAGAGAGCCCAGAAATAAACCACATATACCACAGATCCTCAACAGAGACAGCAGGATAATGAAATGGGGAAAGCATAGTTTCTTCAACTAGTGATGTTGGGAAAATAAAATTCACACACAAACAAATGAAATTAGACTGACAGATTGCATGATGCACAAAAATCAGTTCAAAATGCACTAAGACTAAACTGCCAGACACAAAAATATAAAAATCCTTGAAGACAAATAGGGGAAAAACTTCTTGATAATGATTTGGCAATGATTTCTTGGATTTGACATCAAAATCAAAAACAACAAAACAAAAAGTAGAAAAGTAAAACCACATCAAAATAGAAACCTTTTGCCCAGGAAAGGAAATGATCAACAGTGGGAAAATTCACTGACAAAATAGGAGAAAATATTTGGGCGGGAGGGGGGGGCAAAATAGCACAATTTTAAAAATGATCAAAGGAGTTTAATACATATTTCTCCAATGAAGACACAGGAATTGTAACCAGGTATATAAAAAGAGGTTTAACACCACTAATCAAGGAAATGCTGATCAAAATCACAGTGAGATATCACTTCACACCTGTTAGTATAGTTATTGTAAAAAACAAGATAACAAGTGTTGGCAAGGATGTGGGGAAATGGAAACCCTATAGACTGTTACTGGAAATGCAGAACTGTACAGCCACTATGGAAAGCAGAATGGCAGTTCTTCAATTTAAAAACAGACCTACTATATGATTCAGCAATCTCAGATCTCAGTGTAGAGGCAAAATAATTACAATTAGGACCTTAAAGATATATCTGCWCTCCATGTTCACTGTAGCATTATTCAGAATATCCAAGATAGAGAAACAAGTTAGRTGTTTACTGACAGATGAATAGATAAAGAAAATGTGGTATTTATGTACAAATAAATATTATTTTCTYTTGGAACAAGACACTGTATAAGTAATAAACAAGTAATAATATACCAAAAAAAGAAATATCATTTTCTCTATTTTACTTTAAAAATAAACAAATAAATGGCAAATTAATAAAATTATGGGGTAACTGAGTCTTAAATATCTTGAAAACTTCATCAGTATTCTTCAGAAATAGAAAATAGTTTTTTTACATGTGTGTTTTCTTTAAAGCTTTTTGCACACAAAATGAGAAATCAATTATACCACTATTTAAGTGGCACTAACCAGCAGTAAATAACTTGTTCAAAGATTGTCTTTTGTGTTGAAAGGCAGGCTTTATCATTCTAGTCATCCTCCAGTGATATAGCAGCTCATGAGCAACATGGTGCAAATAAATAATCCTAACCAACTGCTTGTGTCCTTTAAAAGTCCTTTTTTGTGAGGCTCAATTATCTCAGAAAACTATGATTGTTATAAACAACAATTACGGGGCTGGGGTTGTGGCTCAGTGGTAGAGCGCTTGCTTTGCACGTGTGAGACCCTGGGTTCGATCCTCAGCACCACATAAAAATAAATAGATAAAAATAAAGGTATTGTGTCCAACTACAACTAAAAAAATAAATTTTTTTAAAAAAATAACAATTACAAATGTACATGTGTATAACAAAGTATAACAATGTATAACGAAGGACTCTTACCTGTTGGAATTCGAATGTCTATATTGGATAATGTAGCTAAACCACTGCCCCATGAAAAGTATCCATTTGTGACCTAGAGAATATGAATACAGAAATTAAGTCATCTATGTGGACTACAGAATATTTCTAATTTCAATGCATTTTCTTTTTATAGTGCTGAGACTTTCAAAATGAGGTATGGTAAAAATTCTAGTAGAAAGTTGTAACTAATGGTATAAATAAAAAACAAAGAAGAATCAAAGTGAAAGGAGGATCTTTCAATTAGTGATATTTTGGAGAATGCTAAAAATTACAGGGATTTTCTTTGAAATTTTAGGATTACTGGATCATTTGTATCTGAGTGTCTTTAAAATTAATCATCCCAAATATTATCCAAAGAAATCCTTACACCGATTACTTTCTCAGTACTAGACAACTCCCCAAATCCTGAAGATATAAAATGAAGAACAGAAATAACCACAGATTTTTCTCACAAAATGACTTTATGGGCTGAGGAAGACTCTGTATTAATGAAATTCCTAAAGATGTAGAATGATCATTGTTCATCGAAGTTAAAATAAAGAGTAAAGGGGGCAGGAGATAAACACAGACATGAGGCAACACTGCTGGGTGGTATAAGTGTCCACAAGACCCAACGTTCATCCCAGCAGTCTATTTGCTTTAGTAGGTCATGTGGACTTGATTACCTTCACAGTTGTAAAAATGGGAAATGAAAGGAGATGTAACAGAACCCAAGGACGAGGAGGGTGAAACAGACAAAGACGAGGGCAAARAAGGTGCTGGAAAAGTCAGGGGGAACTAAAGATACGCCTAGCTCTTAAGTTAGAATTTTATTTCAAAACCACAAATGATGAAATTTCTGAGCACACTCTTATTTAGGAACTTTTTGAAAAGAATTGGTGCCATCTAAATTGTAACTAAATATTGCCCTAGAAAAGATCTTTGTAAAATAAAGGATGAAAAACTTTGAAAAGGCAAGGTTGGGGTTTTCTCTGAAGGTCTTCTATAGCTTGTACAATGTATAGCACAGCATTAATAACCATCACATAGTTATTTATGGATTGGTCATGGAAGGAGGGAGCACAGACAGGCAGAATAGTTGATCACCTTACAGATATTGGCTATGCACCTGCTGTGTGAGGCTTTGTGTGAGGACTGGTATAGGCTACAAAGAAGTTATAATGAATGCATCATCCCTGCTTCCTTGGAGCTTGCAATTGATTAAGTAAACAGACCATGGAAAGACAAGTTATGCACTGTGTAGTGATGCTTCTGTTAATGATGGGTTGTGTAGAAAAGGGCAGCCTGGTAAAATTATAATGCCTAGTGAGGCTGTAGTCACCTTGTTTTGCATACTCTATGATGTCCCCACAGGGACAAAACTGCTTGATGCATGTCTCCAAACTTATCCCACCATCAAGATGCATATGATAAGTGTACTACAAGACAGCACAGGATCAGTACCAAATAGGACAGACAATAAGAGCAATAGCAGTTCAGAAAAGAAATCATTTATCTAGGATGAGTCAAAAAAATTTTGGAAGAAGAGGCCCTTTAGCTAGTTTTGGAAAACATACTAAATGTCAACAAATGCATTTCTGGGTAAAGTACTACAGTGAGAATTGACCAAAGATCAGAAAACAATGAAATATGTTGTGGGAAATTAGGGACTGAGCTGGCTGGTGCAGGCATTGAAGATTCTGTAGCAAAACGACAAATGACATGCAAAGAAATTATATAGCCTCAGAGGTGGAGGAGCCCTTTGTTAGAGAGCAGGCAAGGAAGCTAAAAGAGGTACCAAAATAGATGCATTTGGAAGAGAGCCAGCATGAAGTTGAGAGGCTCCATGTGACACTGTCAAGGTTTTCAGTGCATTGGAAGCTAAGGTTATCTGCARAAAGAGGAGGAAAAGAGGGAGAAGGAGGTGGGAGGACCATGGTGACAGGTGAATAGATAATGTAGGTGTGGAAAATAATGCTGAAGACAGGCATGTGCAAGGATCACAAGAACTCCTGAAGGTCACTGAAACTGGAGATAATAAATCTGTGCCAAGCAGTGCCTTTGTGTCATTTTATCCATGGCACTCAGCAGCCTGGTTATAGATGTGCAGAAGTCATGAAGTTAGTTTGCTACAGAAGTGTAATAAAGGACTGGAAGAAAAAAGCGGGGGGAGCTGAAGATGTTGGAGATTTCAATGAAGTCAAAAAACAATAAGTATGAAGGAGAATGCTTGGGAAAGCTCGAGATCAGGATTTTGTTCAGTGACTGGTTAGTAACATTTTGTTGTCAGTGACATGGAGTAAGATGTTAGAGGGGGAGCAGTTTCAGGTGGTGACCAAGGGTGAACAAAGGGGAGGTCCTGCAAGTGGAGTAACAGTAGATAAAGGATTTCTGAGCTGGATGCAAGATAGGCTGTGAATTTAGAAGTTTAAATCACACCCATGTGAGTTCATACAAAGGAAGAAGGATGGAATAAGCAAGAGGTGTTAACATCTCATTCAAGGTAGGGGAGTGACTGAGAGGTCCTCTGTTAACAGCTGTGAGAAGGGTAAAAAAGGCCATAGCTTCACCAGAGGGAAAGACATGGTCTGAAAATAACAGCAAAGAGCTAAATATGTAGCATCACCTCCTGTACTGATGCTACACAGAAATAAAAGAGGACACAACCTCCATTCCAGAAAGACAGGAAGAAGGCCAGTGTCAATTTCCTCTGCTAAAATTTATACTTTCATCTCCTCCTGCCTTGCACAAAATGCACTCATTTCTCTACCAGCAGGGTTAAAATATTGGCTTTCTAACTAGCTGTTTGACCTTGGGAAACCAGTTAACACATCAAATTTGCATGTGAGCTTCACATAAGGATGGATACAATAATGATCATTATACTAGGGTTTGTGATAGAGGGAGGATGAAGGAGATTTCAAACCTCTGCCCAGCCAGCCAYGACCATCAGGAAAGATAAGTAAAATGCAGTCATGCATGCTACAGAATGCCAGGGTGCAGTTAGATGGATCATAAAAACACTTAAAACTATCATAACAACATTTAAATGCTTAAGCAAGCTGAAAGCACATAAATGCTTATGGCAACACTACCTATTTTGCAAAGATATACGCTTGTTTAAGCACTCGTGTCAAGTATATTAGAGCTGGAACCACAACRTTGGCGCTGGAGGGTAAATCTGGGAGCATTAAAGGCAGGAGCCAAACAGGCTCAAAAAAGTCACCCATGGTATGCTTCCATTTATATGAATTATCCAGAACTGACAAATCCATAAAGACAGAATGCAGATTGGTGGTTGACAGTGCCAAGGGGCAGGCAGAACTAGAGAGCACCTGCTTAATGGGTGTAAGGTCTCCTTTTGGGGTGATGCAAATGTTTTGGAACTAGGCACAGGTGATTGCACAACATCCTGGATGTTAAATGCCATTTAATTGTTCACTTTAAAATGATTAATTGTTAATATGTGGATTTCATCTGATTTTTTTTTAATTTTAAAGGCAGGGCAATTATACAGACCTTTGTCTATTTCTTCCTGCTGGAAATGGGTAAAAATTATGAATAAAATATAATTTCTGAAAAATCTCATTTAAGCAAGAGGTAAGGAAATATMAAAAGTCAAAAATATAAGGAAAAATACAAATTTAGAGATGTGGGCCCAGAGGTCTACTTCTTTCCTCCACAGGGTGAAGCATAACTAAGAAGAACAGCAAAAATGCTGCGCATGGTGGTGTACACTCAGGAAGCCGAGACAGGAGTATCTCAAGTTCAAAGCCAGACTCAGCAACATTGAGGCACTAAGCAACTCAGTGAGATCCTGTCTCTAAATAAAATTAGGGCTGGGGTGTGGTTCAGTGGTTGAGTGCCCCTGAGTTCAATTCCTAGTACCCCACTCCCCCACCAAAAAAAAAAAAAACCCAAAACRGAAGAAAAAGAATAGCAATAAGGTCTAAGCAATAAGGTTCTACTAGATATCAGTATTTAATAGAAAGCTATAATAACCAAAACAGTGAAAACCTGGGCAAATAGGCCATAGAAAAATGAAGACCTGCATGCTATAGATACATACATGAATAGATCCTTGATTTGTATTTGAAGATAGATAGGGACAGTGGTTAATATATAGGCCAGGGCAAATGAGTTATTATACTTAAAATTAAATAAGATCTTATTGATATATTACCCAAAGTAGTGAAATAACTAGTACTAAATTCCCTACTGATTTTTTTTTCTGGGATTAAACCCAGGGATACTTAAATACTGAGAGACATCCCAGCCCTTTTTGGCTTTTATTTTGAGACAGATTCTTGGTAAGTTGCATAGGGCCTCACTAAATTGTTGAGGCTGGCTTTGAACTCACAATCCTCCTGCTTTAGTCTTCAGAGCCACTGGGATTACAGGCGTGCCCCACCATGCCCAGCAAAATTTACAATTTATTTATTACTAATTTTTCTACTAATCACATCCCTACTTAATATTAAACACAAAAATTGATCATAAGTGGATTAAAGGACTAAAAGTGATCTGACCATGGTGGCACAAATCTGTAATTCCAGCGGCTCAGGAGGCTAAGGCAGGAGGATCTGCAATTCAAAGCCAGTCTCAGCAATTTAGGGAAGCCCAAAACAACCTAGCAAGACCCTGTCTCTAAATAAAGTATAAAAAAGGGCTGAGATGTGGTTCTGTTTAAGTGTTCCTGGGAAAAGTACTAAAAGTGAAAGGTGTAGATTCAAAGATTTTAGGACCTAATGTAAACTATCTCCATAGCCCCTGAGTAGGAAAAGTTTTCTTAAATGAGAATAAATAAATAAATTACTAGATAAATAAATAAATAGAAGAATTAACCATAAAGAGAAACTTATATAAACTAGACTATGTTAAAATTAAGAACTTCTGGCCTGGCGTGGTGGCACACACCTGTAATCCCAGCTGCTTGGGAGGTTGAGACAGGAGAATCACGAGTTCAAAGCCAGCCTCAGCAATGGCGAGGTGCTAAGCAACTCAGTGAGACCCTGTTGCTAATAAAATTCAAATAGGGCTGGGGATGTGGCTCAGTGGTTCAGTACCCCTGAGTTCAATCCCTGGTACCGRGGGAAAAAAATGAAGAACTTCTGTTCATTGAAAGTTACAACAGAGTGAAAAGCCAAGCTACAGAGTAGGAGAATATTGCCACATACATAATTGCCAACATAGCAGAAGCCAATTTCTTTTTTTAAAGGGGAGGGAAATATAATGAGGCAATTCACAAAAGAGGAAATCCAACTCCAAATGGGGACACACACACACACACACACACACACACACACACACACATACACACACAGAGTCTCCCATTAATGATGGTTTGACATAATTATTTTTCTACTTTTTGATGATGTAAAACCATACACATTCAGTAGAAACAGTACTTTGAATCTGGTCTTCTCCTGGGCTAGTGAAGCACAGTGCTATGCCTTCTTGCAATGCCACGCAGCAGCAGCAGCAGCAGCAGCGTGGCACATGCCATAGTCATGTGATCAGGAGGGAAAACATCTGATGGTCTGCAGTGCACCATGTCACTAACTAAGCTATAATATTTAGCCAGTCAGGTGTGTTAATTGTACTTTTGACTTACAATATGTTCAACCTATGATAGTTTTTTCAGGACAGAACCCCATCATAAGTTGAGGTGCACGTCTACATGAAAAAATGCTCTACCTGACAGTCAGCAGCAACAACAAAAAATGCAAATTAAAACCTCAGTAAAATATAGTTGCATCTCTCCCCTAGCATACAACACGGCAGCAAATCAGAAGCATTTGTAGACATGGAGGAACTGGAACTCTCAGTCCATAGTGATAGACATGTTCACTGGCATTATCACTTTGGAAAACAATTTTGCATTATCTAGGAAAGTTGGAGATGCATGTACCCTAATATTCAGCAATCATTCATAATAGTTCCTCCAGACTGAGAGATACCTCAAAGTCAGCAAAGCAGAACAGATGAGAAAGTGCTGGTACATTCATACAATGGAATTCTACGCAGTAATGAGAATAAAAGAATTACGGTTTCACACAGCAACACAAATATATTAGACATACATAATATTTAACAAAAGAAGCAAAACACACATATACACACCTATTTAAACTTAAAAAACGAAAAATATGCTTTTTTTAAAAGGACATATGAAAGTCAAAATGGCATTTATATCTGCAGGGGCAGGTATGAGAGAGTGCGAAGATATACATTCCAGGCATTTCCGAGGAAGTTTGCAAATATAAATATGTAATGATCTCTAGTATATTGTATTTCACAATAAAACACAGCTCAAAAAGATAAATGAATTATTAGGACCTAAGAGTTTTTACTAGGAATAAAAAAATTGGAGTTTGAAGGTGAGTTTGAAACTATGGTGGCTATTCAGAAGCACAGTAAACTCTAGAGGTAGGATTAGCACTAGTTTCTTCCTCCAGTGACAGACTTGCTACAGTTGTGGCATACCTATTGTGGTACAGGTATTGTCAGGTGTCAAGGAGAGCAAGAAGTAAATGTAACTCTTGGCTCTACTATACACCCCACTGAGGCTCCTTTGCTGTCTGATTGCCTTGGACAGTGCAGGGGAGCTGGAAAACTTGGAGTAGCCAAGGTACGTAGGTTTCTAAGAGGGCTAGTTCCAGGACTCTGGTGGTTCTAATGTCCAGAGTCCCTTGGCTGCTGCAGGGAGCTGGTCTAGGACCTGCACATTCCTGACTTCTATCTGGGACTCGTCTCAGTCATCAGTCCCTCAGCCTGCATTCCTGGGGTCCCCTATTCYATTTACCTAAGCACACAAGCCTAAGGAGGGTATAAAGAGCTGAGTGTGAAATGAGATCACCACAGGCAGGATGGCGTGATGGGAAGCTGAGTGAAGGCATATAACGCTGGCTTAAGCCTTTTGGGTTGAAAACAATTACAATTTATTTCCTCAAAGACTGGGTTTATAATATTGCTGTTCTCCATAAATCTATGTATGCAAGAGCACTCCCCACAGCATACAACACAGAGATATGTTAGATACTAGCTTTAATGCAGATTTATCAGAAAGGCTCATTTTCCAGGTACCAAAACATACTGCTGGAGCTACACCTGTGGTTGGAAGGCAAGGAAGAACTGAGAACAGTAAAACATCTAGGGAAACAGGAAAAACAGGRAAAAAAAATCTAGGGATTTTTTTCCAAGTACTATTATGATTCTTACCACTGTACAGAGATTTTGAGGACACAATTTGGGACACTTTTGCAGAAATTCAACATAAAAGAGTAACATAAATGTTTCTCTTTGTGTACAAATCTAGGAAATAGAATAACCTTTATTGCAATATCCTCTGTCTCTGCAGGACGAAGTCTTCTTGTTGATTGCTCATAGCTGTCCAGGTGGTATCTCCCAGGCTGCTTCCTGTTTATAGTTTTTGGCTGCTACATTGCAAATAGAAAAGAACACAAGTTGAAGCTTTATGAAAAAAAATTGAGGTTTTGCTGAACATTAACACATTGCTACTTCAATTCCAAGAAAAAGAAACAAGTAAAGTGAATGTCATGTTATGATTTTTTCAGTGGCTTCTCCATAAAAGCAAATCATGAAAAAATGTTGAGCTATGATGTGAAACCTAATTCTCTAGCCTCTTATTAAAAAAAATGAAAAGAAGATGTGGTACTTGCAAATGATGGAGGTGAAGTATTGAATCCCAAATAAGGATCTGGATATTTTTTCTCCAGCAATGTGGATGAATCTATCTAGGGAGTAAAAACCTGTGTGTCCTACCAAAACGTTATCAGATTAACTCAGGTCAAATTAGAATCCACATCAGTTAGGCCCACTGGGCTTGTAAGCATTCCAGCAATGTACTGTTGATCATTCTTGGAATCATGAGGATTTAGAGTCTGATTCACTCACATAAACCAGAATGTTCTACACATGGATCTACTGTGGATTGGCAAAAGCAAAAACCTCCAGGATCTTTTGCTGAAAGATAACCAGTGTTTCATAAGGAGATACCTACATATTATAGGATGATCTACTCTRTGTCCAATATTATTGCACTATTTCTAGTTAATGGTCTGAAGCCTTCTAGAGAGGAAGACTGCTGTRGTGAGAGAGACCATCTTCAAAAATGTGAAGTAAACTGAAGTCTCACTAGAAATTTCTCATTCTCTAATTTTGAGTTTAATTTCACATGTTTAAAGTCACATGGCTAATGACTTGTACGTTTACATCTCCAGTGCTGATTTCACCTAGCTAGAGATGAATTTCTAAAGAGAAGGTAAAAATTTAGCTACATAAACCTCTAACTTGGAAAAAGTTCTAAGCTCAAAATTAGTTCCAGGAAGTTAGCAAACAAGTATTTCAAGATAAATGACTATCTGCCTTTTTTAAATACTTCATGGGAATTATGAAAACTAAACAGTAATATACTTTAAAACTTAAATTACCTAGAAAAGCAAAGGATTCTGGAATAGTGAAACTTTAAAAAAAWWTTTTTTTACTTGGAATTGTAGATTTAGTTTTTTGAAAAATCCACTGAATTTTAYTATGGGAATTAGGAATGTTCTTTTAAAAAATCAGTAATTTAATCCAAACAAGATATTGCTTTTCCAATTTCCATCAATTGGTGTCCCAATAGACCATCAAACTATCAAATAGTACAATCCCAGGCTTCATACAAATAAATACGCAGTTTAAAAAGTCACTGAGCAAATTGAGAGTAAAATACTAGCAGTGATTACATCACATAGAAAATACTAAACATATTTAACTTAGAAAAGAGAGTATGTGTGTGTTGATGAAATTTTATTCCAGTTTTGCTCTTTTTTTCCACAGCCATCACAAATAGCTCTAGAAGTGTGTTACTTRAGATGTTGCAGAAAGCCATTATTCTTTAGAATCCATATATTCTCCATACACAACAGGTCTCCACCTATGTGTAAAATGCACTGTCTGCTGGTGTCACTAATTCTATCCTAGCATTGCCCTCAGAGGTTCAAGAGGAATGACTTCACGCTCTTCACGAAACTGAGGAGAGGGTGGGAAGAGGAGATGTGTTGACAGAGATTTGAGCTGGAGTCCCACAGATGTAATTTGAAGAGGCTCTGGCTCTAGAATGTCACTAACTCTCCATGGAGATTCTACAGCCAAAACCACTTAGCTCTAAGCTTTTACAGAATACATAGAATGTTAAGCGCGCTCAAGAAGGAGTTTCCATGAGTGTTATTTTCAAACACAGAGATTTTTTTTTTTCTCTCCATTTAAAAAAGCTGGTCGTTTGTGGTTTGGCCCATCAGCAGTGATGAATGATCCTGAAAGACATCAGAAGTCCGGTCTGGTTTCAATAACCCTGAAGATATTGGATGCATCTGAAGAGGATTCTATTTTCCTTCCAAAAACCTATCTCAGTTCAATTTTTCTCCTATTCTTCATCTCATACAAAAAAAAAATTACTCAAATTTCCCTAATTTCGTGAACTCAACCTTCTACATCCCCTTTATTGAGGTCATCTCACTTTGCTTATCCCCACATCTCTGAAAGATGATCTAATGGGTTCTTTGGTAGACTAAGATCATCCAAAGTGTGACGAGGCTGGTTCTAATCAAATATTTGACTTTCCTGATGCCTAAAACTACAGTCACTCTGTAATGTATTCTTGTTCCTATGTCTATGTCCACCCAATGGCAAACATGCATTTTGAGGCATTGTTACTACACCACAGGTAAGCACGGTGGTAGTTCCTTCTTACACAAAAATCATACCTGCTCAATAAAACTACTTGAAAGAAAGCAAAAAATTAAATAACTCCAGAAAAGTAGGAAAAAAAAAACAATAAGGCTAAATATAGCCAAGTGCTGCCATAACTATTTTTAGCAGCTTAAAACATGATACAAAAGAAAATTTAATATAGATTGACTTTTTTGTAAAGGCTTTCCAAGTTCTCCAGTCAGAAGACAGCAAGTACATTTTTGTTGGGCCACATAAATGGTAAATATATTCATAGTTTTCCAATAATTACACAAGTAACTAATATGAGCTGATAACATGACTCATTTTGGAATAAAATCTCTCCACTTTACTGTTATGAAATATACATATAACTTTTAAAAATTTCTTCAGAATTTTTCAGACACACCCTTCAAGAAAGTGATATAATCCAGTCCCACTGATTTCAATATTCTCTAATGGCTAGTGATTTGTACATTTCCATCTCCAGTGCTGATGCCTCTTTCTAGATGTCTGTGTCTCAGAACCATGTATAAAACACACCTTTTGAATTGACCTCACTACTTTAAACCTTGCCAATAACTTCTTTTTGCATGCTACTAAACTCCACACTCTTCTAGTCTACAGGACTCAGTCATTATTATTACTTTGTCTCACTTTCCCTTCTTCATGAGGCTCCAATCAGAGTGTATCTTTGTCTCCTGAAAATAAGTCGAAATAATTCCCACCTCAAGATCTTTGTACATGCCTGTTCTCCTGACTGAAGTGTTCCTTTTGTTTACCAATATCCCRTTGTAGGACAGGTACCTACAGGTCTCACAGGTCTCAACTCAAATGATGGCTCTTCAGAGAAGCCCTTTTATAAATGACCACCCAGTTTTGAGTATCCCATTCGTGTAATGTTCTTTTATTTTCTTCACACAGTGCATTTATATAATGCTTTAAACTTGTGATTTGACTCTAAGACAGCAAACTCTGGGAAAGTAAAGATCTCAGTGCCTCTCAGGTGCCTTGTTAATAGCCACATCTTTAGGTCCTGGCACAAAGCACAGGGCAGCCAATAAGTCTGTAAAACCAGGCAAATACATAATAAATGGTTTATTTGTATTGCATGTAATACATGTCAAATTAATATTGAGGGTTTACAGACTTTATGTAAAACTGAGTAAATGTATGTGTCAAGGATGAATGATTCAGGTTTTAATTCTGATCCCACCCCTTGCTAATCTTATGACTTTGTTCAAGCTACACAACTGTGCAAATTCAATATGTGTAGACAAAAGTAGCAATGTATTGTAATATATTAAGTAGATAAAACTACATAATGGATCAGAAAGCATATTTTAAATTAAAAAGTATAATATAACTAAAAGAAATAAGAATATGGTATAGGCTTATTTTATATTGTTTTTATATAAAGCTTGGATCAAACACTCTCTTAATTTCCTTTTGAGTTGAACTCGTGTTGTCCCTCTTGGGATAATTATTTCATGATATATAAAGACAAGCTTTATAGCCTTATACAATTGTTTATTGACTTTATACTTGGGAGGTATTTTTTTTAATGTAGAAGCAGGTAGAATTTTTTCTTCATAGAGATTAAAAATAAAGCTTACAACTTTTCTAATTGCATCCCCATCAAACCATCCATTCTGTCAAGAACATTCACAACTTTTGCAGCGAGAAAAGCACTTACCACTGTGGTATGTTTCTTACAGGACTCAAAAGGCAAAGAACTTTCGCCGGTCCGCCAGCTGTCGTCACCAATCTCATCACTCAAGAGAAACTCATTCAGCTTTTGAACACTGCAAAAAGCAAACAAACAGAACAAGGATTAGCAGTAAAACTCCCACCAACAAAAATACCTAAACAAACAAACCTTCCTCTCACTCAGTACCTTGGTGAACAGGCTCTCTAAATCATTTCTCAAGAACATCTGGAAATTCAGCTAGATTGACCAAATGTTATAAATTGCCCAGGACTGAGTGATTCTTAGGACAAGACTTTCAATGCCAATATCAGAAAAATATCAGGAAAAACAAGAACCCTGATCATCCTAAATTTAATAGAACTTCTTTCTTTCTTTTTATTGTTGTTGTTGTTTGTAATTATATTCTCTGTCAAAACTAGTGGGGCCAAAAAGGAATGCGGAATAGGGTGATTAAAAATAATACCACCAATAAGGAAAATATTCTTATAATTCTAATTTTACACATGAGAGAAATGAAGCATAGAGCAGTTAAGTAACCTACTGAAAAATCACTTAGGGTCCCTGACCACTGAGGAATCCGGCTTAAGCACTATTTTATACATATTTTCTAAACCTGGCAATGAGTGGGCCTTTTACAGTCTTTTTACTCGAAGCATTGGCCAAAGACCTGCAGAAACAACATCACCAGGGAACTTATTAGAAACAGAATCTTATGTCCCTCTCCAACCTGTGAATCAAAATATGCATTTTAATAATATTCAGAGGTGCTTCATAAGTACATTTACAGTTTGAAAGGCCCTGTTCTAAAAACATTTTGCAAACAGTTTGCAAACACTTTGCAAACATTCTTTTCTGTGGTCTCCTTAAACCAGGAATAAGACTCACTTACCCTTTTCACTGTAATTTACTCAAACAACATCATAGGATCAGGAACAAAAATAAGTAATAATAAAAACAATAGCATGATTTGAAAACATCCTCCTATAAGTGAGTATTATACTAAAGAAAAGAACTTTAAGTCCTGTGAAGTTGCAAAGGAAAAGAAAGGCTCTTCCAGCCTGCTTGCTAACTGAAAGTGAACAAACTCACTAGTAGGCACAGCATCAACTACCAGGGAAGTGTTGCCTTCATAGGAAACTAGAAAATATATATTCAAAATAAAAGGTTCACTTATTTATGGTTTTTAAAATTTCACTTGAGCTTGTAGTCAAGTTCACTGCCTCCAGATAGGTCTGCCAAGTTTGCTTTTGTGACATGATAATAAAATAAATTAAGTTTAATTCAGTCTGCTAACCATGATCTTCAAGTGCCTTGACTTTGTATATCATAGAAATATAAAGATAGATAACATCCATTGAGCCAGTCTAATCACTAGCTTCCAAACTGTACTTTCAGGGAATTAAGAGAGATGATTAAGGAAAACTTTGAGTTGCACAATCTCTTTGAGTCTTTGTTAGGAAAGTCTGGCCATATAGACTGGAAAGATTCAGCATTAGAAATGCCTTTTGAAATAGCATTTTATTTGTCTTAAATGGCAGAAATCCCTTCTGTACTTTTATAGATTTTAGTTGTTATTCTGTTCTAATGGTTTGAAGAGATTTGGTTTTAAGGAGCACAGATTTGTCAATCATGACTGTAAACAACCTTGCACTATTCCCCTGCACAGAAAGAGAAGTGAGAAGGCCAAATTCGAGTGCCACTGTATCTTTAAGTCTAGCGGCATTTGGCACACATTTCTCCATGAATGCTTGTTCAATGAATCAAAGAAGAAATAAATTAATGATTCAGACAGTAAAACTGGTTGATTCAATTCTTCAGTTCACTTTTTGAGTATACACACAAATCTTACTAATGCTTTTATGGAATAAATGAGCCCCARTCTTGCTGAACATCAGGAAACAATGATCCCTGACCTTAATTTGGGGTGGAGAGAACTTTCTCTCCTCTTGGTAACATACCATGGTGGAACTCCATTTGCAATGAACAATACCAACCATTCTCTAAGCCTCTCCTTTCCCTTTCCCTAGGAGGGCTGGCTGAAAAGTCCCTGTGCTGCTATTTTGTTGTTGTTAGTTTCACATCTATATCTCCCATTAGACTGTGAACTCCTTACGAGCAAAGATTTTCATTTTTAGAATTTAGCCCAATTCTAAAATATAACATAACAATTCCTCAAGTAATGCCTGATGAATGAATAAATGGGTAATACAAAAAGCATTTCCTGTTCATATGAGATCTTTTCAGGAATCACAGAGACAAAACAACTATGGAAAATGCATGAATCCTGACCAAGGGTGAAGTAATTTTCACCACACTGCCAAGGTTATATTTTAAAAATGCAAATCTAATCATGTAACAGTCCTTCTCTTAAAATAACAAATGGCACCCTTTGTCTCTCAGCATCTTTAACATCATCTAAAAGCTCATCACTGCTTCCCTTCTCATATCAGAATCTTTTCTCCAGCTACACAGAACCACTTTTAGTCCTCTGAATATACCAAGATTTCTCACCTAATTACTCAATCTTGGCTCCTTCTGATAAATTACCTTTCCCCTTTTCCTCCAACTGGTCAAGTCTTATGTATTCTTTAGGAGTCTGGGAAAGAGCTACCATCTTCTTCAAAACTTCACTAACCCTCCCTTCTTTCTCAGTAAGCTACAAGAGTCCTCACACATGGTTCTTGGCATTCTGTGTAAGGCTTATAAGAAAACACAACGTATCAGAATTACTTTCCCTTCCTAGTCTCTCCAACCAAACTGTGCACTCCCTGTACATTTTCGTTGTACATTGGCAGTTCCCAATGCCTAGCAATGTAACTAAAGCATTCGCAAATGAATGCCGACCTATAGAARATGCTCAGAGGCATGAAGTAGAAATGAGCACAGTGGTGGTAAATGCATAAATGGAGATATGCAAAATATCTAAAATATTTAGGCAATGCACTAGGTACTTTTTAATATACTATCTAGTTTAATTTTCTCAATCACCATAAGCAGGTGATATCATCCTTCTCATTTGATAAGAGAGGAAGCTACACTATAGAGACACTAAACAATATACTTGTGATTGATCAATGAGTATTCCATGGTTGTGATTGGAAAGCAAGTACATTCATTGCCAATTTGCTATCCTGCCTCCATAGCCACTATACGTCAGTATTTTACTAATTTCTCACTTGTTTAGATTATTCACAAAAATATTTAAGGATTTTTAGTCTTACATGTTACTTTTTCAATTCTCAAAGTTTACTTTGGGAGTTTAACACAACATGGGCACTTTGGACAAGTGTCTATTCATTAGAAATAATGGATTTCATTGCTGGCAGTTGCATGTTTTTCAATAGAATTTATGAAATTTTATAAAATGAAATATAGAGACCCAGCCAAAGCATAAGTATGCTATCTGATAAATATCAGTAACAATTTATTTGACTGAAGGTAATGCAGGAGACAAGCCAAGCATAAATTCCTTTGGGAGGTACATGAGAGAAAGGACACAAAGTCATTTCCCAACAAAGTGAGGAATTTGTTTTATACTTTTTTTCCTTGGCAAATAATATCTCTGGACATAGATATTGAATTATACATCAAGTACCAGATACTTAAACTCAAATTTCTTTTATGGGATACAACATATTCTCCTCCAGAAAAGCACAACACATAAGTTATTTCCTAACAAATAAAACAAATAGAGAAGTAAGACAGCATCATGGAAAACAAAAAACAATAAACAAAACCTCATTCTTGTTCAAGTGTTTTAAAAATAATAGTGGCTTTTATTCTGTCTGTTTTGCAAATAAAGACTGTAACTCTGTACCATAAAATGTCCAGAAAACTCAAACACAGGATACTGTGGGTTTAAGAAGACAGCCTGARGCATATTTGCCTCTTTCTTTTATCAGATATATGTATATAATAAATATTTATTTAATATTTATTTAAATTTAAATATATATTTACTATATGTAATATTCTGATACATTTAATATATTATAAACTTTTTCAAAAGAAAACATAAAATTTCCCGGGAGCAGAGAATTTTACATGGTATGGAATTTTCCTCTGGTAAAAAAGATTCCAAGTTTCTTACATGCATGCATGACACAAGTTTGGGAGTATGCTTCGCCCATTCTAACCCACCAGATATTAAGAGTGCATCAAAGAACTTATGACTTCCACAGTCCTGAAGAGGAGATTTCAAAATCAGCTGACCAAAGTCTCCGATTATAAACAGGCCTTTCAACTCACTGTGGGCCAACTGGCATCAAAGACTGATCACGGGTTCCCAGGCCCAGAGGAAAATGCTGAGCCCAATCAACACTAGGAAAATGTTCATTTGGGTTCCCAGAACCAACACACAGTGGGAAAAAGTATTGGCATCCTCTGTTGACCAGCCATCTCTGTAGGACCCGTAAATCAACCACTGAAGGTCATTTTAGAAAAGCAAGTTTGTATAAGCAGAGTCTATTTGGCCTATGGCTTGGGTAATCTGGAACTGAGCCCTGAACATAGACTGGTCTTTATCAAATTGGCAAATGCCTTTTCTCTGAGATGTGCAGAAGGGAGAATGCTATGCAGAAAWACACAAGGGACACTATCCACTCACAACTGTACCAGGATTTACTACAGCAGAATCGTATACGGTGGATTTGAGAAACACTCCTGGATTACTTTTATCTTTTTTTTTTTTCAAATCAACTCTTTGAGTCCTTTTGATGTTTGATAACCTCCTGGTTTCAGAGGAGTTTTTTGTTGTAAGTCATCAGCTGCTTTTTATCTCCACTTAGAGTGCAAAGTCAAATTCCAATTAATAGTGCAACCATGAAAGGGATAGCAGTTAAGTGGAGAAAATGAAAATAAGGACCAAAATAGCAGACTCTGGCCATTTATCAATTTTATTGTTTGAAGTAGCTTCTCTTCCAGAGCACTGCCTAATTTGGAAGTGGTGCTACACAGTGCGGCTAGTGATCTATGCAAGTGGTTCAGAAGACAGAACAATAAGAAAAGAAAATGAGGGCAGATGAGGCCAGAGGGCCTGAGCTTTAAACTCTAACAGCTTCCGAAATGTTATTAATGACACAACTTAGAGAACAGGATTGAAGCTATGTTATGATAACTACTGTATTCTAGCAGAGCTTAATTTATAATAGGATAATTTATATGCATTTAAATGCTATCTAGAATTAAACCCCTGGTAAGTCAATGTAAACTATTGCCTAAAACTGGAGATTCTGGTATTTTGAACACTAAATACTAGTTTTCTCACTAATACATAGATACCAGGAAAATGATCTCATTTTTAAAATCTTATGAGAGATGATCTACATTGCTGTCAATGGCAAAAAGCATACTCCATATATTTAAGGCCTCAGTTTTCCAGTTTTCTAACATTTAGGTATGTTTTTCAAAGGCCAGATATAAATATAATGACTGTTTACATAACATACTGAGATTTTATAAAGTTTATAAAAATTGTATAGCAAAACGTAAAAATACCACTTTAAGGCTTCCTTGCTTATAATAGAATCTAGAATATAGTAGCTACACTACACACAGTACACATGGCTTGGTAACATGCTTTCAAATGGTTAGGAAATGGGCATTATCACATCACATCCATATTCACAGTTATGCATTATGGGAAGATAAAAGTAAGACAAAGAATACACTGGTTGTAAACACTCTAAAAGCATATTAAAATGAGCAAAACACCAAATAGTTCTGCGTATCTTTGCCTGATTTAACTAAAATTAAAACAGAATATGAAGTATAGATGGGAATATTTTCTTCCATCACTGCCAGTACAACATAAATTGGCATGGCTTCAGTAGAAAACATTATGAACATATTAATAMWYTCTCTCTCTCTCTCTCTCTCTCTCTCTCTCTCTCTCWCWCWCACACACACACACACACACACACACACACACACAYACACACACACCTTTTGACCTACTACCACTTCCTCAGTGGGAACAACATAGCCATGTTCAGCAAGGACCTTAAAGATGTTCATACTATGGGAACTGCTACCATCATTTCCATAAGTCTAACCAAAACCATCAGGGAAAAGTGCAAAGACAAACAAAGTTGTTTATCTCAATGCTATATGTTAGGGAGAAAACAGAAGCATTCTAAATCTCTATTAAAAAGATCGTCATCTCATTCCATTGTCTTTCCAATCAGACATAACTGTCCTATGTTCATATATGAACATACTACCAATAAAATTTCACTTCTTATATAACCACAAAATGGATCCTAATTCCAATAATTTATATTCCATGTACATATAATATGTCAGAATATTACACTCTAGCAGAGTATAATAATACATAGTCATGTATATTTAAAAAGAACAAATTTTTAAAAATAAAATAAAGATCATCATTAAGGAATACTTACAAACAATGGACTATGGAATAACCAGTAAACCTCAAGTATTCTAAAACTAAGGGAACATAATAAAAACAACAACTGAAAGAAGAAGCCAAAAGTTACAGAAGTTCATTTTTCAAATTTTAAAATGATCACTTTTATATGAAATAAATAAAGAACTGAAAGATACCATACCAACATTTTAACAATGATTATCTCTGAGTAGTGATTTTAATGTTATTTTTCACATCTTTTCAAATTTACTACCAGGAGCACATATTGTTCCTATATTCAACAAGCAAAGAATTCCAAACATTTTAGTGCATACCTTATGATGGCTTTGACTGCAAATCTGACCACAGTGGAGAGCAGGAATAGTGGTGTGACAAGGATATGAAAGAGAGACAGTGAAGCAAAGGCCTCTGCAGGTTTTAGGTTGTTCCCACTGGCGTATGCATGGGTCACAAATGTCTTTGCCCAAAAAAAAAAAAAAAAAAAAAAAAAATTCTCTTGTGATTGCTGGAGAAAGCTTCACACATGCTTACATAAAATTTTACAAAACTAACATATGTCTCTGCAACTATGAAAACAATTACCTTATCCCAAACTCCCTAACTGAAACAATACCTGCTATTGGTGAAGTTTTACTGGTTTTCATGTCATCTTAGCAATAAATGTGTGAGGAAGTCAGGACACATTCTAGTTACAGAACAGGAAACTGATTTCTGTCAAATTACTGAGTAGGAGGAATAACTTGATAGAAAACTCAGAATCGTTAACAGCCTTTCAGGCTTTTTCCAACCTACACTAAACATTCTTAGAGAAAAAAGAATGTTCTCCTGGTTTATGGATCTGTATTAAGCCTGCAGCTTTGGTGTCCAACGAAGACTTATTAACATTTTTAAAAATAATACCAGTTGTTGGGTTTGTTATTTTAGCATGCAATATAATGGAATTATTTAACATTTTCTGCATCATCTTTTGTAAAAATGTATAGGAACCAAGTCATTGAGATTAGAACAGTCAGTTCTCAACCATTATCAATTTTGCTTCCTAGGGGACATTTGCCAACATTCGAGGACATTTTTGATTGTCATAACTGAGAGTGCTTCTGACACCCAATAGATGAAGTCAGAGATGCTCTTAAACATCCTAATGCCAAGAACACCCCCTTACAATAAAGAATTAAATGGGCCAAAATGTCTACAGTGTCATGATTACGAAAACCAGGACTAGAACTGTTGCAATGGAAATTTCAAAGAAGGAAATGGCAGAAGTGAAGAAATATATGGTACCACCCACACATTCTTGTTCCTACATCATTTATAAACACTGACTTGGTTCCATTTCTACAAGCAAAAAAAAGTGTCTTACAGCAAGAACAGCTGCTATGGGAATTGCTGCATTCATGAAGACTGTGGAAAGAAATTAAATACATTAGTTTCATTGAGCTGTGAAAACATTTTCAGTAATTTTAATTAATCATCTATTATTACTTTATTCCTTGAAGACAGGAAGACAAAGCGTTTTAAATAACACTTTGTCTGGAGTCCACAAACATTTCCCAGTCGGCATCTCCTTTTCTATGGTTATTTGAGCTCCCACATATTATTCTTAACCAGAAACTATTTCTTTCTCTTTATTGAAGAATTATTTTTTCTTATGAAATGTTACAACAATGGAACTCGGATAAAATAATCCTTTAATGATGCAAATTATTAGAATTTAACAAATGTGCATTCTTGAGAGGCTTTACACTTTATTTTGTTTGGTTTACTAACCTAATTTAAACATGAAAATTGGGTTATTATGCATTTTAAAAATGAGATTTTGGCCAGGCACCATAGCACATACCTCTAATCCCAGCAGCTCAGAAATTTGAGGCAGGAGGATTGGGAGTTCAAAGCCAGACTCAGCAAATTCGTGAAGCCCTAAGCAACTTAGTGAGACCCTGTCTCTAAATAAAATATAAAAAGGGCTAGGGATGTAACTGAGTGGKTAAGTGCTCTGCGGTTCAATCTCCAGTACCAAAAAAAATAAAAATGAAAATAAAAAGAGATAAAGAATTTGACAAAACTTTGGAAGTTTGCTTACCAGTAGTGATATTAATTTTATTTATGTATCTTTCAGTAAATAAACTAACTCCATATCTTAGACCTTCTGCTTATTTAAATCTCTCTCCAGGAAAATATGCCATTATCATTGATGAGCATGGTATGTATAATTTAAACAAGGAAAACTCATATTTTAGGCTAAAATACTAGCATTTGAAAGTCTTTGTAAAAATAAAAATGCCTGGGCCGGGGTTGTGGCTCAGTGATAGAGCACTTGCCTAGCACGTGTGAGGCACTGAGTTCGATCCTCAGCACCACATAAAGATAAATAAATAAAATGAAGGTGTTGTGTCAAAAAATATTTTAAGAAAAATAAATAAAAATAAAAATGCCAAGTTGGTGATTTATGGTGATATTGTTCATAAGCCATAGAATTTTAGGGTCCAAGGGTCCAAAAGATTAAGTGAAGTGTCACAGAGCCAGGCAATGGCATAGTGAGTGTTACAATTCAATTTTTCAAGAGAAGAAGATTTGGTTTAAAATAAAGCATCCTAGCTCATGAACTGTCCCTTCCACTGTACAGAGCAGAATCACACTGCTTTTGCAGGTTCAAGTATAACCTGAAATTAGTTATCAAATATAAGTTGTTGTGCAGTACTTAGGATTCTAACACTGACCCGAGTTTCATATTAGCACAGACAAGGAGCCACGGTTCTGCCTCAGTCTTCTTTCTCTACTGCTACCCTATTTCTAAGTCTATTTCTTTTACCTTCCTTATTATTTAGAGTTAATTTAAATTCTGCATCTTTAAATAATTTCCTCTTGGGAAAGAGTGAGAAGTATCTAACATTTTTCTGATAACTTCTGAGACAGCAATCTGTCCAAGGTACAGGCAGCAGGTACCTTAGTGTCTCATTATGTAGATGAGGATAAGTTCATGGCGGCAAGGCTGGGATTTGAACCCATGCAGTCTGGTGGCCCAGTGTTATGCTTGGCACCACTTTGCTCTGCTATAATTTAAACAATTCCCAATAACTAAGGTGTGATTGTCATTTTACACCTATTCTCATTTTTTCTTTTTCTTTTCTTTTTTTCTTTTTTTTTTTTTTTTGGTATTAGGGATTGAACTCAAGGACTCAACYACTGAGCCACATCCCCAGCTCTATTTTGTATTTTATTTAGAGACAGGGTCTCACTGAGTTGCTTAGTGCCTTGCAGTTGCTGAGACTGACTTTGAATTTCTGATCCTCCTCCCTCAGCCTTCCAAGTCACTAGGATCACAGGCATGCACCAATGTGTCCGGCCCCATTCTCATATTTGTGGCTCAAGCGGTAGGGCGCTTGCCTGGCATGCGTGCAGCCTGGGTTCGATCCTCAGCACCACATACAAACAAAGATGTTTTGTCTGCCAAAAAATAAATATTAAAAAATTCTCTCTCTCTCTCCATTCTCATATTTAATGTCTGCAATGACAATTCACAATAATGAGGAAATAGCTTAGGAAAAGTCACGTGCATGATTCTAAACTAAGAGCTGACGGAGTTTGGAATAAAACTCAGATCTTTCTGGTCAAAAATCTTCATCTTCTTTCTACTTCTCCTTATAAAACTTTATCAAAGTGGAAAGAGAAAAATAGAGTCTTCTTTGCCTTTGCCAATGAATTAAACACATAAATAGCATGTGAACCTTTGGCAATGGAGACTACAAAATTGTTCAACAGTTTCTTTCCCCTTCAATTAGTGTTTCAAGCAAGAAAAGCACTGATTGTACAAGTAGAAATGGATCTTTAGTTCTACTAGTATTTGTTCTGTTTAACTTTGCTTTTTAATACTTGCAGATACCATTTCTAAACACTATACACATACTACCATATTTAATTCCCCAAGAAAGAATTAATACATCCTAGTTTATCATTGAGAAAACTGAGGCTTCACCAAGCAACAGACCAAGATTGGATAGCTGCCAGTTTGCTAAGTCTGGATGTGATTTCAAGTCAAGTTGCCCTAAAGGACCCAAAAGTATCCAGTATCCTACACTGTCAGTTTTTTTTCTTTTTCTTTCTTTCTTTTTAAAAGGTCTTTGCCTGGTGCTCTACGAATAATATCCATCTAACACTTTAACGTTTCCTAAGCAGTGTCACATTATGGCTTTATTTGGTTCTCACAACATTCTTATGATGCAGGTATTAATATTACACCAATTTTTAGATGAGGAAACTGAACATGGGCTACTGAGCACTAGGCCATTACCAGTGTTTATATGAATACAAAGCACTTGACACAGGGCCTATAATAGAGTGTACACTCGATAATTTCAATAAACCTATTTCACAAAGAAGCATGCATCATCTCTAAGATCTGAAGACATTTATAATTCAAGAAAAAACAACATGTAAATTTCCAAATTTTCAGTTGTCAAAGGTCTTTGGGGAAAATGGGGATGAGCAAAACTGACTCACAAATAAAATATTAGCAGAGATAGTCTAAGTTTGGTAAATTGTACTAACATGAGCCCATTATTTTTGAGAGTGCTGCATCATACTTTGAGAACAAAACATTGTATTTAAAAATTCTTGAAATGCATTGGAAAAAAGAGTTTTATGTGAATGAAGTTTGACTTCTTTTGCTTGAAAATGATAGTTTTCCCCTCAATTTTGAAAAATGGTATTTTAAGGACAGTCTTCAAGAAAACATATCATAAGCTCTCAAAGAGATAAAAAAAATCTTGTAGATAATTTCAAAGCATCTTTGGGTCTAAAAATAGCAATAGTAGTGTAGTCAAATCAACTTACAGAAATGTTTACTGAAAACCAGTTTTGCCATACCAATTTTACTGATAAGAGGTCTTAATCATAGGTCCTAATAACATCACCTTCCTCATGTCACAGAGGAAGAAACCAAGGATTTCAGTGTGTAAAGTAAAATGGCCCAGGACACACAAACTACAAGGAATCAAAATCAGTTCTACTTGACTCTAACCTTGTGTTTGCCCTGGTCTTTAATTTAAATGTGAACAGCTTCGTATGGGTAGGGGCTACTGAACAGCACATGCCTCCTCGAAGATACACAGGCTTCCTTTAATGCCTAGAATGTTTCACTGATTGTAATGGAAACTGAGGAGACTGTGTTCGTTGATCACTTTTCCCATCACTGGTTCTTAGAACCACAGCAACTTACTGGAGAGTGATGTATAAAGTGCAAAGGTTTTGAGACTAGACAATTCTTTCATTCTTGTTTCTTCCACACTTTTGCAGAAGATGTGTTCCCAGGCATACAACTTGAGAAGCTTGATGCCTTTCATTATTTCATTCGTTTTCTTGAGTCTTTCAGTGGAATAATCCTATAAAACAGAGGAATAAAGTAAAATGCAATTCATCCACGTAATCCAGAAAGGCAGGACTAAATAGTGTACACAGATTGAGGAGGTCTCAATTTCTGACCATCTCTGCCACTCATGAGGCTATGAAATTCCCAGAAGTAGTTAATTTTCTCTGGGTTTCAGTCTTTTCAACTTGAGGAGACTGTTGAAGAAAGAGTTTAACGAGATGGCCTCAAAATTTCTCTCCACCTAAAAACATGTCTGTCTCTGTTTCTTGAGACTATATTAAAAGAAATTTTGGGGTTTCATATGATTTCCTTGAATAATATCTGCAGAAAACATTGACACACATGTTGAGAAATGATGAATAAACTTACAAAGGCTCCCAACATCTAAACTATTCTGTTCTCTCTTCAACTCTATCATTCACACATACAAGAAAAAAAAACAATGAATTTAGGAATAGTTAGATTGCTTCTTATTTGGGGATGTGAGGGTACAATGATGTGGACATTCACATTACAACTTCAGCATACGGTTATGGAAACCAAATCTATTGTCTTTAACTTCAGGAATTTCTTCATGCTTCTTTGTAAGCTTTTGTTTAAAGTCTAAATTAGATTCCCCGGCTACTAACAACTGGGATTAATTATAGAGAGATTTTCAGCAGATACCAATGCCCAAATTTAATCAGCTGTTGAGCTCCCTCCACCACCAAAGAGTGGGTGTAGAATTTCTAGCAAGGTACAATTTGACCTATCAACTATCCAAAGGGATAGTGGAGGGGCCAAAAGGCAGATAGGAAAAAACAAAGGTAGGAAATGGGCTGTGTTCTGATCATCTTTTTGTCTCCACAGGGTCTTGAATGCCTATTAAATGATTGTTAAATGAGTGAAGGAATATGGTATAAACAACTAAATGAAAGACAGATGTTTGAGTATAGTCATATCTACGCTTAGGTCCAATTCCACACCTTTCTATATTTGTGTGCTCAAATAAAAAGAGCAGATGGCTTAGACAGAAATAATGAGTAACCTCACCAGAAGCAGCAGAAAAACAAGTGATAAAATCCATGAGCGTGGCACAGAGCTTGCTTGTCATAGTGGAAACACCAGCTTGAGAAAGGATTCCATCAGCAGCTGCATCTCTACATTTCACACCTGATTAACACAGTCTTGCTCATGTTTAATCAAACTTCACTTCTAAACATGCTGTCAACAATTTTATTATTTGCAAATATTTTTTCAAAAGAAACTAATTCTTACTCAAAGAGATTGCATGGCAAATTGAAGCCAGAGTGGGTCAATAATTGGGCTTTTCCTTGTTCACCAAGTTGACCACAAATGTTCTCCCCTGCCACTAAAACATTTCCACGTAACCCCATAGGTCAGCACATGGTGTGAATCAACCCGAAGGAAATTCAATTTCAGAAGCACCAAATCCCACCCTTCACTTGTCTATTGATTCCACATGAGTAACAGACATCCAAAGGTCTCAAAGCATTCTTAAGAATATTCTTGGACAAGTGATAGCAGATCTAAAGCTTCATCACTTCGTGGTCCTTAAAAAGATCAAGATTTGTGTGTGTGTGTATGTGATTCTGGTATCTTGAGTCAAAGACAATCAACTCTTCAAATTTCCATCTCACTTTAAAAAATTGTTTTTCCAACATATAAAGTACACATTTGTTGCCTAACAAATGAAATGAAATACAATCATTTCTAAATTATCCCAAGTGGTATGCATTAACTTCCTATATTATAAAAATAAAACAGCACTACTAGATTTTCCTAATAAATTTTCCAAAAGATGATACTTACAAGAGTGCTCTTCTGAGCCTCTGCCAACTTTGTAGCGATGAAGTACTGAATTGGCGCAAGCAGCACAATGACAGCTGCACCAACCAATGCACTTGATCCAAGTAAATTATAGAGCAGGATCACTCCCATTATGATCTAGGAAGAAAAACATATGGAAAATGGAAAATGAATGGAGCTGTGGGAGCCACTGCATGAAAGGAAATATTTTTAGTGAAAATATAGTATTTCTTAATTATCATATTAAGTTTATTTGGAAGTCAACTCAACTGTGACAGTTGGGTTTTACTATGATTTATTTGGGGAAGGCTAAGTACTAAGAATTTATTTTTAGTATGATGATTTGTAAAATTGGTGTCAAACCAACTTATTGCATGAAGTTGCAGAGTGGCCCCATGATGCTTCTGACCTTATAAAATAGTCTTAAATTTTTAAAGGAACATGAAAAACAATTTCAGAAATGCTGACACTCACCATAAATTTGCCATTCCATATTCTTTGGGGATTGTCCTAGCTTTTCAAAGCAATGGGAATGGGAAGTAGGGGACAGCATCATAAGTGAGTATACGATGATTCTGTGTAGATCATTAAGCTTCTCACTTGCTTAATGATACAAAAAGTCACTTGATGTCAAGAAGACTGAGACTAACTGAAACTGTTAAGAATCCTCCGTTGGTGCCCCATCTTATCTCACTCACTTCTCTTTCTAAATGTTTCCCCAAACTCAAGGTTGAACTATTCATGCCTACCTTCTCTGGTTTGCCACTGTCTTCTTTTTCCTTTGAAGACTCGGGATTTAACCCTGCTCTTCTTCTTCCCCCTGATTTCTTTTTTTAGCAGCTCCATTATCATAGCTCAAAAATGTCAACTGATGCAACATATATATGCAATTCAAACATTCAATCTATGCATGTGTGCCAGTGACAACAGCTTTCTGGTGGCAATTTCACAACACATAATCAATTAGGTATTTGGGGAATTCCAATCAAACGAAATATTCCTTAAGATCACCCAAGATATAATCATTTGGTGCAATCTGGGATTTTTGGTGCACTTTAAATTATACCGTATAGTCAGCTACCTAATAAAATGAGACAAAATATATCTTTATCTTACTTTTGTAACAGGCAATATGTGCATGTTTTTATTTGACTTGACTTTCTATTAAGAATTAAAAATGCAAATAGTAATTTTTAAAATTATCATATATTCTTTATTAGGAATAGTGCACAAGGACATATGATAGGTAACATCTAATGAGATCCACAGTATAAGCTCCATATACAGGATGCAAAATTTAGTATAAATATCCATTGTGACAGCAAAGAAAAAGCTGAATTTATTTCTTCTGTTATTTTTACCCCATTGGATAATAATCATGTGTCTTCATGAAAATGCTATTTTACATTCGAAACAGTCCTCCAGCTTCTCAGTGTTTCTACCATCTTATAAAATTTGACATTTCATAATATACTAGCTAACAAAACCATGGAATGGAGTAAAGAAATTGCTATAATTTATAAATGCTATTAGAGAATTTGTCAAAATGAAAGGGGTCAAATCTTGGCTCTGTGACTTGCATGAATTTGGGCAACGGCACAAATAACAATTACTAAGTGCCCTCAAAATGCTAGGTATCATTGCTAAATGCTTTACATATGTCAAATTATTTCAACTTGACAATTCCTACAAATCTATGAGGCAAGTATGTTTATTACCTCCATTGTAGAGTTAAGGGAAGTAACACTTTTGAAGGGATAAGCACTTGGGCAAATGTGAGGTGGAACAGATGTTTGAACCTAAGCAGTATAATTCCAAATTCCACTTTCTTAACCTGTACCATAACATTTTTGAGTCTCAGCTTCCTTGTCTACAAAAAGAATATAATAACATCAAGCACATGCAAAAATTATAACCTTTATCTAGTTAAATATTGACTGATGCTCCTTCTGTTTTCTTTCTACTGCAAATGAGAATCTTACTTATGATAATTTACCTGGACAGGCATAGCCCATAGGTTGGGACACAGGAATAAGAACCACATGAGTTGATTGGTTTCGATAGCAACCAAGTTATTGATCTGTCCCAGAGTCATCTCACCCATGGATAAGTTAGATGTAGACAGCCTAAGGATTTTATTGTATATCATGGCCTACAASAAAAAAAAAATTCACATGAAACCCTAAACTTAAAATCAATATCATAATTATTTACTTTCATTGGAAAATAAAACAATTTTGATTTTTTTGAGAGAAAGGGTAAAAAAATATTCTCTATGAACAGTTTCTTAAATCAACCACAATTTCCTTTTTAGTATAGTTCCTTTTTGTCCTCAATTAAATATAAACATTTTTTCTAGCAAATAATCAAAATATATACTCAAATTTAAACCTAAGCTCAAGCGCAATTAGCAATAGTAAAAAGTAAGTGCAAGGTTTCTAAGTATTCTTCTTGATGTAATTTTAAATAACATTTTAATTTTTAATTTTTAAAATTTAAAATTTTTAAAAATTCAATGGTTTTTTAAAATTAGCTCTTTTTTTCAGTAAGTAGATCTTAGAAATGTTTGTTTCTGCAATATAAAAGCGAAAACAAAATGAAAATAAATAAATAAAAACTGAAGCTACTACTATGTCTATTACTGGCTGGTGCATGGAATTTTCAAGAAACAAAAATCACCAAATCCTGTACATACCAGCAGAGCTCCACGAAGATTAATGCCTGTCTCTATGGTCACATAGTAGGAAGCCTGAAGAAATGTCCTTTGCAGAATAAGGGCCAAGAAGAGAAGAACTGCTAGAACATAAGCATTTTCAAGAAATTCTTTTGATGAGAGGGTTTCTGAAATCTTGTCCCACGAGAAAGAAAGAAAAAATTAAAATGAGTCCTTTCATCTATCAGTTGTATATTTTAAATTTTTAAAAGGACACATAACTTTTCTATATGAAAACTCAATGCTTATAATGCAGCTAATAAATAAGCCACAATAAGGCAAGTATTGCTTTCCCCCTAATAACTAAAGACCCAAATATAAACTAATTCAATGCACAAAATCCCTAGTTGATTATTAAGACTGCTTGCAATGCCTAACTATGGAATAAAAGGTAACTTTTAATTTCAAAAAATTTTGAGTTCATTTCTTGCAAAGATGTATTTTTCCTTAGTTAAATGGGTAGTAGTGAAAAAAAACATTAATTTAGAATCTAATTTAAATGTAGAAACCACAACAACAAATCTCATCATTTTGTACAATTATAATGCACCAATAAAAAACATGGAAGAAAAAAAAGTAGAAATCACAAAACTGATAACTAGTCAGCAAGACCAATGGTACAAAAATACAATTCCTGTAAATTGTATTACTTTAATAATATATAGCATTTTTTCTAATTTCCATATATCTTAATTTATATTAACAAACCATATATTATAAAGTAAGCAATTTGACTATTGATTTCACCCATGCAACACTTCCAGAGACAAAGCATAACTTAAGAAAAATTGTTTTAGTGGAAATATAACTGAATTCACCATTTGGATATACAAAACAGATTGATTTTGTTTGTAACAATAGCATGTGGCAACTTGTTAGAAGAGAAGGAAAGATAACACTTGATAAAGTAATTTTAGTAATGAAGACACTTGTCACTTTTTATGATTGAGAGCTAATAAAATTCTACTTCTGGTCCATTCCTCATATGTCTTGGGGATATATAAAAATACACAAGTTCTGTTCCATCTCAGAAAATCAACATGGCTAATGCATGTAAGGAACAAGGGAGGAATTGAGATATCTGAATGTCATTAAGCTAAGTGGGCACAAAACATCACAGAAGTATTTAATGTTAGAAATATCTGATTCATTTTAATAATAATTGGACACTGACGTATCAAAGATCTGGGCTAACCATTGTGTGCACAAGTATGAAGAGTTCACAGTCCTGCTTAAAGATCTTATGATTCAGAAGGATAAGTATCCACAGTAATGTGCTTCCTTATGAACAGCTTATGTAGTCATTGCCAACAGGAAGAGTCCAATTCCAACAAAAACAATCAGAGAAGGCTTTGCTGAGGAGGCAGCATTCAATGTAGGCTTTGATAACACATAAAATTTTAATAGGTGAAGAAAAAGGACTGAGAAAATGGAAAAGGAAAGCCAATCCACCTGAACTAGAGTTTCTATCTGTGAAACTGGGGAAGTTGAATCTTATCTTTAAAAACAACCCAGGAAGTTCATAGTGCACTTTCTGAAGAATAGAAAATTTTAAATTATGTATTTATAACAGAACACACATAGCATTTTATATCATATGATCACCCAAACAGTAGAAAAATACCTAATAAAATATCATAAGACTTGTTTCGATCATTGTGAAATGATGTGACAGCTTTCATTACATAAATATAGACTATTACAAACTGCATTGCAAATATTATTGGTCACAGGCTTTTTAAAACGTGACTTTGAAAATTCTTAAAAATTGCCATAAAGATAAAATAATCAATATAAAAATCTCTGCTCAGCGTTACTAGCGCATGAGAGATGCTTATTAACTATCTACCAGCTCTGAATCTGAGAAATAAGTTTTTGGACAGATACATTGAATGAGCACATGCTTTTCTCTACAAGAATTACTATTTTTTTATTTCAGTTCTCTGTAAATAAGTCTGTTTGAATTATTCATAAAACTGCATTGATAGAAAGTGACAGTTAGGGCTGAGGTTGTGGCTCAGTGGTAGAGCACTTGCCTCGAATGTATGAGGCACTGGGTCTGATTCTCAACACTGGATATAAACGAATAAAAATAAAGGTTAATCAATAACTAAAAAAAATTTTAAGTGATAATTAAAGTGAAAACTGTCAACAATATGTTTCTTTTCAAAAGCATCATGAACTTACACCTGTTGTGTTATTTGTCATATTCTGAGTTTCATTCACACGCTGTACTATTCCAGAAATACAGAGAGGTCCAGCAAAACCCAGCAGATCAGCCAGATAACGAAACGTGCTACTCAGTAGAATTGGCCGCCCAAAAGCTCTGTACATTGCAAGCCATATAGATGGAGTTCGATTTGGATGATCTGCTACTTTCTTCTGAAAGAAAAGACAAGAAAACAAAATGAAATCACCTAGGGTAGTGATTAATGTCATCCAGCAACTATAAATTCCTTTTGATTAATTCCAACGATATTTTAATGACTTGAAAACAAATGTATAAATTTCATTACAGCATGCATAATTTTGTATCCTTTAATAATATATAGCAATTTCATGCAAATAGTAGTTACTTAATGCACTTTAATGAAATAGAATAAAAAATACACAGGCTAGATTTTCTGAGACTCTGTATTATTTTTACTTGTTAAAAGAAAACACAAAATTCTTAAGGCCAAATTTATTTTTAATTCCCTTTGATTTGGAAAATACACATCTGACATGAATGTTGTAAAGTACCAGGATCAAGGTTATTGAAAAACTAGTCAATATTTCTGAAATTACTTGATCATAAGTAATGATCTACCTATCACATTCAGATTACCCAACCTCAACTTTGTTTCTCCTCCAGATTTTCCCCTTCCTCATGAATGGTTGCCAATACTTTAAAAAATTATGGTAGGCTTCTGGTTGCCAAGTATCAAAGAAATGCCAAGTGAGGAATGGCATATATGCTTACATTAACTCAAGGCTTCACAAATCTACAGTTGCTGACTGTAAAGATGCTAAGACCTGAAACATCACAATAACTATTGATAGTTGTCTTGATAAAGAGGTGGACAAAGTTTTTCCACTGTGGCAAAGAAACCAACTCAATAAAACAGAATTCAGTTGTGTTTCCTATCCAATTCCCCTCTGAATGAATAATCTGATTATTTTCTTAATCTTGTTGATGCAAGACATTAACACACCAAGTTCAAGCTAGTCTATGTTGTAGAGAACACACAGAAAACTTAAACTATTCTTAGTTTATATTGTAAATTTTTTCTCTAGCAGAGAAGTTTTTTTAAATGTTTTTAGTTATAGATGGACAAAATACCTTTATTTTATTTATTTATTTTTATGTGGTACTGAGAATCAAACCCAGTGCCTCATACATGGCTAGGCAAGAGCTCTGCCACTGAGCCACAACTCCAACTCCTAGCAGAGAAGTTTTGATGCAATACTTTCCCCCAGAGGTAAAACCAGAGAAATGACTCAGGTTCATTTGTAGTAATCATTTCCTGCAATGATAATTTCATAATAGATTTCTGACACAAGAGGTCATTTTCATCATTTACCATAAATGCTTTGTTGGTCTTGATTTAGAGTAGCCAAAAACTCTTTAATTGATTCACTCTAACCTAATCTCTTCCAGTGATGTTGGGAATACTAATATTTTAAGTGACCCTGATATTTGTAATGGTTGCAATATATACCATATTGACAACTGTGGGTAGCACACATGACTATTCAGATTGATAACCAGTCAAATTGAAAATATCCATATGGAGGCCTACACAGACCCCAGCCTATCCATGGTTCCAGGTTGCTATCTGCCTTATAAAGCAAAGTGAAGAATTTGGATATATATAGAGAGATATAATTATAGATATAGATAGATACACACACACAAGTGTGTGTGTGTATGTGTGTATATGTGTATATATATATATCCAAAGACTCTCTCTTATCTTTAAATTTTTAAAACAATTATTAAAGCACAAGGAAAGTATTAGAAGAAATAAAATTTTAGGAGACATACGAGATGATACATGGAATAAGTAGGTGACACCCTTTAATTTAGTCTCCCTAGTTGAGACTACAGAATATAAATTTTAGTTGATAATTAGTTTAAGAATTTTAATTTCTTAAAAGTAGTTACTAGTGAATATGATCTATTTTACCTATATATTACAAAATTATTCACAAGATGCTTGAGAAAAGACAATAAAAATCCCATGAGTTATAAATATGATGTGGTACAACAGATTAATTGTACAGTTCATTGAACTTAATTTTTAGTTTCCACTTGGTCATAGGTCCCAGAGAAAAGACACTGCTCTCAGTCCTTCCTCACGTGCTGGCTGAGCAAATAACATACCTATATTTCACTGGCTCTTCTAGTCTTCCCTCAGTGATCCAATTAACATGACTCAAAACCACTGAGCAAGACAGATGGAGGAAATCTACTCTTCCTTAACCATGGGTATTATCTAAGCTTTGCACTTTTATATTTAATTCAATTCTCTATAATTATGGACATGCAGTTACCTTTTGTTCTTCATATGCATCTTTCAGGCAAACATAATTTGTTACTGCCCTCATTGCTATTGGCAATTTTCCAATGGCCTTCAGATCAATAGGCTTTTTATGTGCAGATATGATAAGGGTGTTCATCCACCAGTATGTCGCTTTTGATAGCAAATTCACAAATGGCTGAAGAAATCTCACACCCAGATCCTGGAGGTCTTCAGGAGGCTTGACTTTCTGAGGGTTCATGAAGAATACATACCTCTGTGGCCAAGAAGAATTCCACAGTGTAACGTGAGCCCAATTTTTTTATATATATTAAAAATTTAATTTTAACCTTTTCTATGTTTTCATTCTAGGCCACCAAATTTTATATTTTAATAACTTTTTTCATCCCTTTCTGAAATACTCTTTGAAATATTTCCTTTTTGTTTTCACTAACTAGTTAAATGCCAGAATTGTAAAAAAAAAAAAAAAAAATCAAGTAGCCTTTTAAAAGAACCTATCTTTCATTATCTTTGATAGCATCACCTTCATTAAGATTTTTATATTAGTAATATTTTAAAATGTGCTATCAACACCATTGTTGAGTTGCTCTGTTGAACTGTGATCTATTAACTGGATGGTCTCCACATTCGCTGCAGCACTCAGAACTGTCCACTCAAAGCAAATTCAGAGTTCTCTAATAGAAAATGAATATGGAAAAGTCAGTCAGTAGTATCTCACACAACATAACTAACATTAGATAGTGGAAAGGACAACAGATTTGTAATTATAGGCCGAGTATGAGTTTTGACCACATTACTTTGGATATATACCTAAAGTTATCACCATAGAAGCTTCATCAGTTGAAATGGGCACAAAGGATAAAACTACTTYCTTTTCAATTACAAATTTCTAGAATACAATATTTTGTGTTTAGGACTAATCACCGATGATGGGGAAAAGGTCATCTATAATAGGAAGTGAGTTTAACGTTTGGCATAGGAAAGGCACACAGTCAACACCTGTATAGATTCTGAGGTCATACTGAGATGTCTGAAACTTTAATATCCTGATGGTTGGTGATGAGTTTAACTTTATATTTACAAATGCAGATCATACACACTTGTTTATCATCTTAAATACTAATAACTGCTGGCTGACTTAACCTCTATTGTTGAGGCCCTGCATCACAATAAGTAAACTCATATTATTAGATACTTACTCTGACCCGAATGACATTGATCTCCACAGCCATCAGAAGCCCATTCAAGATGACCATCATGCCAGTGATGCAGAAACGCAGGTCTGATACTCCCCACCCAGACTGCCAATACTTGACCAATTTTATTGTTTTTGTAATAAAGGCCATTACCCAATACAGGAATAAGGCTGCAGAAATAGAAGGAAAAAAAAAAAGAAAAGATGCAATTTTTCCTGATATTTTTAAAAACTTGACTAACATTTCAATAAAATAAAATGTTTTATAATAGCAATGACAATTTTAAGTATTCTATGTGCACATAATTTTATTTAATAAGAAAGAAGTGTATGTTTTAATGTGCTTTGGGGATTTTGAATCAAAACTATGATATGGAGTGAAAGTTTTAATCTTCTACATGTGAATATCCAGTTTTCCCAGAACCATTTATTGAAGAGGTTATTCTTTCTCCAATATATGTATTGGAGTCTCTGTCTAGATTCAGTTGGTTGGAAATATGCGGGGTTATTTCCAACCTCACTATTCTGTACTATTAGCCTCTGTGTCTGTTTTTATGTTAACATCATGCTATTTTGATGACTATAGCTTTGTAGTATATATTGAAGCCACACAGTGTTAATATCTCCTGCTTAGTTTTTTTAACTTAACATCACTTGGTGTCTTTTGTGCTTCTACATGAATTTTAGTTCTGAAGAATATCATTGGTATTTTGATGGAGATTACATTGAACTGTAAATTGTGTTGGGTATTTTAATAATAATATTAATTGTTCTAATCCATGAACATCTAAAAATAACTCAAAAATGTTGAAGACTTCCATTCTGGTCATATGTGACAGATGGTAAGTCATAAAGAAGCTTGTAAAGAGACGTAGTGGTTTTATGTCTGGCCTTGTTTTCTAAGAGCCCTGATCTTGTGAAGAATTCACAAGTTGGTGTCTATGTTAGTTATCCAATAGGTAAGTGTGTTTTAGTTCCCATAAATATGTCCATTGCTATTTCCCTGGAATTACCATGGTTATGTAGCTACTGAATAGAGTTTCTGCTTTACAGACCAGCATGCCAGCATAAATGACTCATTTCACCCAGATAGTTTAAAACACCATACCCTACACAAACGCAAAGAACAAGGATCTAACGAAGCAAACCCAGACCTCAAGTAGTCAGGCCAGAAAGGCAGGAATCTACACCAACTCATAAACACAGCCAACATTTTTCAACAAATATGAGTTAGAAGCAGTGACATTCCTAGAGACATGTTGGCAAGGATTCAATCTACATTGACCTTTAAATAAGATCAGTACAAATGAATATGGGATAAAAGGAAATCTAAAGCACACATAAGATAATCCAGTATGGACAACATTATCAGAGCCAGAAAAGCTAAGGGTGATTACAACTTCCTTTTTGAAAAATAATTGAGCTTTGGCATACAAACTCAAACATATATCTTGTTTTAGCTTAAAATACAGAAATAGAATGTATTTACGGGGAAAATGGACCAAATTATGCAGACTGAAGAGATTTGCCTTAAATATTATAAAAATTAGATTGAAAATAAACAATAGAAAAAAATATGACAAAAAAAAAAGTATAAGAATCCTAGAACAGCTAAATTTGTATCAAAGTAAAACTTAAAAACAAACATATTTTTAATAATAATAAAAGGGTCAGTTTCTCAGAAAGCAATTAAAAATATGCATAAGCCTAATGAAGACTCAGAAGATCCAAACACTAGCAACCACCTATACTATTTGCTATTTATTAAATTATTTACTTTTTGGTATTATAAAAATGTACCCAACATCTTCCAAACATACATTCATGTTAATTGCATATAGTACTAGTTAACAGACTATACGCTCTCTCAAGAAATAAGAACAAGTTTAAAATAAAACATATAAAATATGATCACATTCTGATAAAAATGAAATTAAATTTTAAAAATCAAAATAATAAGTCTATTAATTTTCTGTTGCTCCTTAATGGACTATAACAAACTTAGCAACTTAAACTAGTATTCATTTCTTATCTCACAGTTCTCATGGGTCATAAGTCTAATCATGGCTTAGCTCTCTGCTTCACAGTGTCATTGGGCTGCAATCCAGGTGTGGAGTGAGGCTGTAGTCTCAACAGAGGCACAGTGATGTGGCACTCTCACCCTTGCCTTACTCTATCATCTAGAGGCAGGGCACAGGTTCCACTCAAGGGGACAGCACAACACGGAAGGAACACCAGGCAAGAGATAATGGGGGTAACCTTTGGATCCTTCCACACAATAAGGTACCTAGTGGTTTCCAAAAATATTTGGAAATTCAAAAACACATTCTAATAATCCATATGTTGAAGAAGAAATCATCAGGCAAGTTAGAAAATATTTTAACTAAATTATCATGAAAATACGCTATGTTCTAAAATTAAGGAATGCAACTAAAATAAGATACAGAGAAAAGTATATAGCTTTAGAGATGTATTTGAGAAAAAGGGCCAAAATCAATGGCCGACATTTCTATGTTAAAAGTTAGGGAAAGAAGAACAATAAACAAAATAAATAAAAAGATGAAAAAGAAATAAAGCTAAGAGCAGAAAGCAATAAAACAGAAAACAAATAATTGATAAAAGGAATAAATTCAATACAATCAACTAGATTGATTATTTGAAAGGATCAAGAAAACTGGTACATTCCTAGCTAGATTGATCAAGAAAAGGAGAATATAAGTGACTGATATTAGGAATGAAAAAGGACCTATTTCTATATATTCTACATATGTTAAAAGGATAACTAGGTAATATCATGAACAACTTTATGACAACATATCCAAAAGCTTAGATAAATTGAAACTTTCTTTAAAAGTTGACTTACCAAAACTGACATTAAAAAAAAAAGATACTCTGAGAAGTCTATACGTAATAAATTAATTAATTTGGAATTAAAACCACAGGCTCTCATAACTTCAGTAGTGATTACATTCAATATCTAAGAAACAAATAAAATTACAAAAATCTTAATATATATGTAATATATATAATATTTTTCAATTCAATCTATGAAGCCAGTATAACCCAGCATATGAAAACTTGACAAAGATATTAACAAGAAAATAACAGATCAGTATCCTTCACCACATAGATGTAAAAAGTCTTAACAAATAAAATCTAGCAAAATCTAAAAATGCKATAATATATCATGAATATGTGTGATCAATCCCAGGAATGCATTATTTATCATTTGAAAAATATATAGGCACAATTTAGCATAATAACAGTACAATTTTCCCAAAGGATGGAGAAAACAATTCAATACAATTCAACTCCTCCTTATGATAATTTTTTAAACCRTTAAAGAAAGCTCTAAATAGAAAACTAAGCAGATGAAGTTTTTCTATGAAAAGCTTATAATTAACATCACAACTATTAAAAACTATTTTTCCCCTAAAATCAGGAACTAGACAAAAATTTTACTCTTACCATGCCCATCTGACTTTTTTACTGAAGGTTCTATTAAGTAATATGGCAAAAAAAAAGTTTAAAAAGAAAAAGAAAGCATAAAAAGTTTGAACAGAAGTAAGTATAACTGGACACAGTGGCACACGCCTGTAATCCCAGCAGCTAGGGAGGCTGAGACAGGAGGACCACAAATTCAAAGCCAGCCTCAGCAACAGTGAGGCATTAAGCAACTCAATGAGACCTTGTGTCTAAATAAAATACAAGGCCCTGGATGTGGCTCAATGGTTGAGTGCCCCTGAGTAACACCCTCCACACACCCCCAAAAGAAGTAAGTATAAGTGTCTCTATTTGCAGATGGCATTTTTGTTACTATAGAAAATCCTAAGAAGCCTACAAGCAATAACCAGAAGTAATAAGTGAATTTCCAAGATTGCAAGATACAAGACTGAGTCACAAAATCAACTATATTTTAATACAATGATAGAAGTAATTGGAAAGCAATATCTGAACTATAATTCCATTTACAATAGCAGCAAGGAAAAAAACTAATAATAAATTTAACAAGGTATGAAAGACCTCTACACTGAATACTACAAAGCATTGCTAAGGGAAATGAAAGAATATCTTAATAAATGAAGAACACATTGTGAGACTAGATATGTCATCAAGATGTCAGTTCTCTCCCAAATTGTTCTATGCATTCAATATCATTCCCATCAGTACCCCACCAGGACTTTTTTTTTTTTTTTTTTTTACAAATTGTCAACTTGATTCTATGCTATATAAAGAAATGCAAAGGAGTCAGAATATCCAAAGCAATATTTGGAGGAAAAAAATTGTATAACTTACAATACATGGATGGCTTTAAGACTTCTAAAGCTACAGTGATCAACACAGAATGGCAGTGGCATAAAAAATCCATGAATTTATCAAAGGAATAGAAAATAGAGTCAAGAAATAGATTATATTTAAACAGTCATTTGATTTGATTTTCTTTTTTTATTTGATTTTCAATAGAGCTATCAAAACAAGATGATGGTAAATGGGAAGCCTATCTCACAAATGCTACTAAAACTATCTTAATATCCATTTGGAACAAAAAGAACCATGGTACCTTACTTTATACCACATATACAATGGATTTAAAGTGGCTCATAGTCCTAAAAATTTTGAAACTATAAAACTTCTAAAAGAAAGCAGGAGAAAAGTTAAGATTTCTTAAGACATGGAACTGAACATAAGATCAAAAAAGGTAAATTATACTACATCAAAATTAAAACATCTGTTCATCAAGACTCCTTTAAATAATTAATTTGAACGCCAGAGACTAGGAAGAAAATATTCTCAGAACACACATGCAATGACATATTAATATCTGTATATACAAAGTTCTCCTACAACTCAATGATAAAATGAAACCTAATTTTTAAAAGACACAAAATATGTCAGTAGTCAATTCACAAAGATAATAGAGATCTCACAAAGATAACAAATGACCAGTAAAGTCATCATAAGATGTTCAACATCATTAGTTATCAGGGGAATGCAAATTAAAATCATAATATGTTGCTAGTATACACCCACCAACATGGCTACACCAGATAAACCAAGATCACCAAACCTTGGCTATCGCCAGCTGTAAATTTCGCTTTTTAGCATGTTCAGATTTCTGCAATAATGTCTGCATGTCATTTTATACTGGGGAGTTTTTTGTTAAGATAATTCAGATTTTGACAATACATGTAAGTTAACATTTAACCCTGACTACCTTTTTTTATTAAATGACTCTTGTCCAATCATATAGTGGGACACAACATAGAATTAAATGATCATTATTTTCCATGCACCAATTTTAAATTTTAATATCTTATGGAGAAATAAATAAGACTCTGTTAATACACTGTAATCATTTCTTTTTCTAATTTTTATATCAGCAGTGACATCATTTTCATCATATAAAAATTATAACAATTGAATGAGATCTGTGGACCTTAAGCAATTGTAAGCCTTCACTCATACCAACACACAATTCTCCCTACAACTTTAGGAGGCTCATGGGCCCCTGCAGCTCATCCATGATCCATGGTCTATATTTTCATCTAGTCTCTCTTCATGAAAATATATATCATGGAATACAAAGATGAGGCAAAGAGTATTGGATACATCTCATTAGAAAGAGAAAGACTTTATTACCCTAAATACATATATGATTACACTAGTGGAATAACTCTGAACCATGTACAGCCAGAGGAATGAGAAGTTGCGCTCCACTTGTGTACTATATGTCAAAATGCATTTTCCTGTGAAAATAAATAAATAAAAGAAAAAGAATGTGTTATATTACTTTAGCCTAAGTCAAAAATGAACTTAGGAACATTTTGGACAGACTCTGATTTCTACAGGACAAGAAGGTGAGAGAGGTTAACTGGACAATCTAAGACCCAATGCAAATGAGAGAAGCTGGGCTTTGGAGGCAGCTGCTTCTCAGAACAGCCTACTCTTCAGCATGCTCTGCTGCAGAAAGACTCCTGGTGCACTTCCATACATCAAGAAATGTGGCATTCCCACAGCATCAGGGCAAGGCTGGAGCCTTTGAAAGATGCCACGGAACTCCAAGCCACAAGCAGAAACATGTGAAACTAGATGAGACGACTTGTTCACAGGGAGCAGCTCTTTGTAAGTTCTCTGATTCTTAGAGTACAACTCCTGGGAGCCCCAGATCCAACATACGTATCCACTTTTTTTTTTTCCTGCCACACGCTGACACACCCCAAAGGCCAATTATTGGAGACTCAATGTCCTGGAGACACAGGGATTAATTATAGTGTTTTTTTCATGCTTCCCACTCTCCACCCAGTATACTGTGTGGGAAAAGAAAAATGAATATAGCTCTTTTTGGGGTGGGGGAACCCAACAACAACAACAACAAAATATCCTTGATCATACTTGCCTAAAAGTAGTTTAGGGAAATTTGATGTTTCAATGTTATGATAATACACTATTGATGTCGTAGTGGCGACGAATCCCATTACTGCAGGCATGAAGAGGTGGAGATGCCTGGACTCTCGTCGTCTGTGGAGAGAGTCACAGGGTCAGTGTCTGAGGATGACAGCTCTGGAGTTTCTCATTTTGTTTACAATTTTTTCATTAAAACTCACTTTTAACTATAAGTTATTTAAAATATAGAATGCAATCATAATTGTTAAGAGAATATGGAAAGGGAGACTATCTTGTATGATATGATTCTGCTGAATGGACTTATTCTACCACAGAGGCATGGATAAACACAGTTACATGATATCTGAAAATGCTTGCAACAAAACAAATATATGACCACTATAATACATAGGGACCTATACAAAATATATTTCAGCTGGGTAGAACTGCTGAAATAATTCAATGATTAAAATAATCAACTAAATTGGAACTCTAAAGCATGTGAAAAGTATGTTTATTCCTTTGACAATTTTCCTAAACTCTGTGGTCTTCAGGGATTTCTCTATTCTTATTAATTCTTTCAACGTATGTGCATTTGTTGGTGTCCAGATGCTGTATTGGTTCTGGAATGCAGTAACAATAAGGTAAGCTACAGAGTCCAGTTATAAAGACTCTTTGGGGGACATTAGTAGCAACACAGACAGAGACCATAAGGATACAACATTGGTGTCTGGATCAGAGAAAGCTTTGTGAAGGAAGTGACTTTTTAACTGAGACCCTAAGAATGAAGAATTGCTGCCCAGAGAAAGAAGGGAGGAAGACTGTTCCTGGTAGTATCCAGATGTGATAGAGCATATTGCAAACAATTTAGTACAACTGCAAGAAGACTAGTTCATTCTGAGGGCAATAAAAAGCTCCAGGTGTGTGGGAGAGATGACTGGACCCCAGATGTACATGGTAGAAAGCTCTCAACTCTGCATCCATGTTGCCACATGGTAAGAAATTTAACTTTTCTCAAATTACTTCAATATATTAGTACACAGAATGGGTCAAGAGAAGAGAGTGACCTGTTCAAGAGTGCAGGAAAAGGAAAGGAAATCATTTCTGAAGAGCTATAGTTGACAGGGAAGACTAAAATACAAAAAGAAATGTCCCAATTGGAAAAATGATAGACAGGCACTTTAAAAAGTATAAACAATGGGTAGGGGGCCAGGATATCAATGGTGAAGGCCTGATTCAAGCTTTGTCAGCAGTACAGGGAGAAAACAATGTATCTGGAAGAGGTTACTTGTTAAAATGGACAGGACTTTAAGAGTGTTGGTGTTGGAGACTGATGAAGATGAAGAGGTAGAAACAAATCCTAGTGTGTCCGGGTGGATGACTGTTTGACCAAGAGGTCAAAGTCCTGGAAGAGGGACCTTAAGAGGGTAAGCAGATAGGAGAAAGGGAGCTAACAAGTTTCAGTAGGGATGTGTAGACTGTGAATGTGTCTAATAATCATGCAAAGAAAATTGTCTCATAGGTACATGTATGTAGAGATTGCATTAGTAAAAAGAAATCAAAGATTTGATTAGGAAAGCCTTTGCATAACTTGTTTCACAAATTATAATGAGTATTTGTTATATTTTAAGTAATGAATATTTCATGAAGATTTTGTTTAAAGAAGACAAAGGGAAGGAATGATCTGGCAGTGTCAGTCATGATACAGAAAGAGAAAAGGCAAAGTAAATTTTTTTAGAAGTCACTGGAAGAGTTTAAAGGACTTAAAATCAGCATACTACAGTGATGCATCCACATCAATGTTTACAGCAGCTCAATTCACAATGGCCAAACTGTGGAACCAAGCTAAGTGTCCTTCAACAAATGAATGGGTAAAGAAAATGTGGTATATATGCACAATGGAATATTACTCTGCCTTAAAGAAGAATGAAATTATGGCATTTGGTAAGTGGATGGGGCTGGAGAATATCATGCTAAGCAAAATAAGCAAATCCCAAAGAACCAAAGGCTGAATGTTTTCTCTGACATGTGGATGCTAATTCACAATAAGGGGGGTGGCTAGAGATACTCTGGATTAGACAGAGGGGAGTTAAGGGAGGGGAGGGAATATGGGGGGAGGAATGATAGTAAAATGAATAGGACATTATTAACCTATGTGCATAGGTGATCACACAATTGATGTAACTCTATATCATGTATACTCAGAAGAATGAGAAGTTATACTCCATTTATTGATGATGTATCAAAATGCAGTCTACTGTCATGTATAATTAATTAGAACAAATTAAAAAAGAAGTCACTGGATGATTAACTCTTCAAGAAGCCTGGCCACAAAGGATTGTAGAAGGAATCTATAGCTAAGGAGTAGGATRGCACAAGACCCAGGTTGTATTTTTGCCCATTTGTTTTTAGGCTGGGTCTCTGGTATCACTACCACTACGAAACACATTTCTGCCATCAGTGCACCTCCTTCTAATAACAACTTGGCTCGAGTTTTCTGTCTCCGACTAAAGCTGCACGTCAACTATGCGGCTGGGAAGAAAGGTGAACCAAAAAAATGTCAATGTTTTAGAACATACTTGGTTCATCTTTCTTCCATTTCATAATATACATAAAAACATGTAGGGTCAAACTATATATTCAGGAAGTAAAAAAAAAGTGAAGATTAGAATTGGCTCTGTCAATACAAATACACAAAGGGGTTTTGAATAGCTATCATACGATAATAGCCAATTAAACTTCTAAGTGCTTTGGGGGAGGCCATAAATTAGAATCTCTGATTTTTCTTTTTATCAGAAATTAAAACACGCACATATCTGCAAAGAACCATCATAAAACATTAAAAAATAGTTGGCCCCGCGACCAAAGCTTAGAAGTTTTCATTTCTTGTTAACTGCAGCAGAGAAACATAAACAGATGTCAGGGGAAGTTATATTAGATAAGAGGAAAATGATTTTTGAGGCTTTCTTTTCAAAACCTTTAAAGGTCTTCTCATGTCAATTCTTTAGGTTATACCATTAAGCACAATTTCATAACCAGAATTTTCCTATTATTGGAGTTTATTTTCTTTTATTCTGAGAAAAATATTTACCCAGATTTTGTTCAAGTTTACAAATACAACTTACTCTATTCCAATTGCCTAATAAAAACTTTTTTATAAGAAGGACAAAATTCCTTTTAAAAATGGATCTTTTTCTGGGCTGGGGTTGAGCTCAGTGGTTAAGTGCTTGTCTAGCATATGCGAGGCACTGGGTTTGATTCTGAGCATCACATACAAGAAATAAATAAAATAAAGATATTGTGTTCACATACAACTAAAAATATTTTTTAAAATGAATCTTTTGACAAATCCTGATTTTAAAATAATTTCACGCTTAKCCTCAATTTGTGGCTCTGTTGTCACAGGTTCTCACAATGCCTTAATGCCTGCCTCATCTACTTTTGCTTCTTTACAGAAGGAACTGAAACACCTGAGAACTGATCAATATGTTAATATACAAGTATACAGGTATTAGAGCTATATAGAGATAGACATCATTAATAGGCATCTTTCTATTGATACCTATTTTTAAAGATAAAGTAAATATCAAAAGTTTAAAAGTTCAGAACTTTCTGCAAGGGCTACCAGGATCAGGGAGCAAAGAAATATAAACACATGAATGAGCACAAGTCACAGAGATCTAAACGTGTGTTATCAGAGAAAGCCTGCATCGACACGTAAGTAGAGATGAAACACATCATCATCATAGAAGATGGAGACATCTCTTTTTCCTAATGAGTTACGCCCCTAAAGTTAAGCCTGGCTTGGTATGCTCTTCACTTCTATCGGTGTCGTAGTGTACCCACTGGTATTCTGTACTGGTGTTGTGTGCATTGAGACACTTACGAATCTGAAACGATGCCTTCTGCTATTTCACAAACATGCACAAACAGGAGAGCAAAAGTAAGAATCCATCTCAGGTTATGCCCAGGAAAATGAAGCCATGTGTTGTGATGAATTTGCACTTTTGAGCTTTGGCTCCCCCACCCTGAAAAATAAAGAGAAGAAAGGAGAAAAGAGATAAACAAAAGGATCAATTATAATCATGGAGATTATTTACATTATTGTAACCTTAGTGCTCCCTAGGACACCAATGGAAATTCTCGTCTCTTTTGAACTAAATAAAATAAATATTAAAAATTCTCCCTCTCTCTCTCTCTCTCTCTCTCTCTCTCTCTCTCTCTCTCTCTCTCTCTCCCCTCTCTAACTCTCTCTTTAAAAAAAAAAAAAAGCAAAATAACAACTTCGATTAATTTTTACCACTCTGCCTAGATGGACACATGAGCTTTTACTGCATTGTTCAGGAATGACACTAACTCTGAGGCACTGAGGAATGTGGCTCCTTCTTACACTCATCAGAAGCTCTCACAGCTTCCTCATTCACTCAAGAGCAAACAAATCAATAATTATAGTAAACAACAAAAGAAATTTGTTGTCTACATTCTTTTAAAACATGGAATCTGGGTAGGATCAAATGAAAAAAGACACAATTCATGATAAAATATAGGACTTGTTAGTTGAGTTAACTCTGAAACATATGAGAAAAATGATTACTTATGAGTGGGACCACCACTATTCAATACACTTAGACTTTTCTCAAAGAAAGCTAAAATTGTATTCATTTATATGAACAAAAGTAGAATCAAACACATTATGGGTTCACTTTCGGTTCATTATTGGATAAAAAAAATTCAAGATGAAATTTCAGTAAAATTTTGTGTTTCTTACAAAACTAYAGGCATAGTAATATCACCTCATGTATGATATTAGGAAAGAACCCAACTTTTGTTTCTTTTGTCTCTCTTTTCCTCATTTTTTGACTGTAGAAAAGTCCTACATACTTCAAGAATAAATGGAGATCTGTGCTTGAAATATTGCAGGAAAAAATTTCTGTATAGATAAAAAAGGGATCCCTAAAGCATCCTTTGAAAAGAAAATTGATTCACATCTTACTTGTTTCCAAATGTACTTCATCATTGGAATSTTAGTTACATTTAATGTATTCTACTAGAATTTATGCTATAAACATTTGCAGGCCAGTTGTGTGTCTTTTTTTACAACAACCTAACTTTCTGATATTTCTTCAAGACTAATATATGATCCCTCACTAACTCAAGTAACCAGTCATAAATAAGCAGTCTGCATCTTTCTCCAATTCCGTCTGCCAGTGTCCACTCCAATTCCTTCCTTATTGCCAGGGTATGTGCTGGAAGTTAGGGATAGGAAAAAAAAAAAAAAAGGAATGTCACAGTCCTGGCTCTCAAGAGGTTTACTGAATGTTAGAAATGAATGTTTAATTATAAACTTGCAGTGAAAATACTCATTTTCTACTTTTGGTTAAGGAGCATTCTTAATGCCTTACAAATAATGCTATATAAATCATGACTAGTATTTCCACATATGGCTTCTCTGGTCTCAATATATTTAGTGTCTATACATTTGCTTAACATAAATAACAATGTACCAAGAGTTATGTTGGCCTCTGTATATACCATATGACAGAAATACTTTGATCTCACTTAGAATATGAAGCACATGGTATTCCCCTCAATATTTGCTAAATGAATAAATAAAATCACAAAAATTATTTTTAAACCTCTTCTTAAAGCAGATTATTAAAATATGTTAGTTTTCCTAAGAAAATCTGCCCAGTAAATTTTTAACTTATCTTTGTAGGCAAAATCATGCATGGGAACATTAAATACCAAATAATTAAAAATAGTGGTTACCTTGAGAAGGGATAAGGACATAAGGCGTGGGAAGTATCAGAAAATGGTACACACGAGGAGTCCCTTTTATTCTTACTGTTATATTCCTTTAAATGAGTGGTGGTAGGTTTGATGGATGTTTATTATATTAATCATTTTATGTATCAAAATATTTCACAACTTCAAAAACATTAAAGAATCTATTGGTTGTTTTACATAAATTATACATAATCTCCCTAATTTATTGGCATCTTTATATATGTATGTAAACTGTAAAATAATAGGGGACTATATTACTAACTCCTTTCTAAATAGTTTCCACATCTACTCTTTCTACCTAAAACATGACTCATCACTCCTATTTTAACTTGCATGGTTTATTTCTTACAAGTCCCCTAAGCAGGTCCCACTAGCCCTAAGAAGTACACAACTTCCTGGCAGGTTGATGCCCAAGCTAACTTATTCCTGCACCTGTGAGTGGGCTGGCGATATGATGCCATCATTTCTCTTGAAACATCCGCTCCACTCCACTATTCCCAGGAGGCATGCACTCAGTATAACCCAGTTCCTAGTCCCTTTACCTGGCACAAAGCAAGTACTCAACAATGCCTTACATCTCTCTCATAGAGCCATCTTCCTCTTTTTAAAATCTACTGCTGCTGAGCTGGCAGGCGACTGCGGTTTAGCCTATGGAATATCATATGCCAAAAATATATCATTGGAAAATACAAAAATACTTGCTTGTTTCTTTCTCACAGACTTAACATCAGTTTTCATGTTGAAATTCATACAACATTATCCCAAATCTCAGCCATTATTAAGAGATACAAACATTAAGCAAAATAATACCAGACATTAGATTACTTACTTACCAATAAACAATATTGGAAAAGTGATAAACAACAGGAACACATGAGGGACCAGGTTGAGGGCATCCACAAAGCAGGGATTTTGTAATACACCATCATAGATATTATATGAGGAAATGTTGTTACCACAAAATGAAAGACTCATTTCTTCTTATATGACTTATTCTGAAACAGATAGAAGAAAGAAAACGRCCTTTTATTATTAAACTTTCTGTCATAAAATTATGGCCTCAAATAAGGAGTTCTAGCATGAAATCATTCTCCCTTATTTTTGAAGTTGAGAAAATAGAAAACTATGGCCAAGTAGCATCTTTTTGTTTTCTCCACATTTTTTATTGGCGCACTATAGTTGTACATAATGATGGGATTTGTTGCCACATATCATATTTGCACACAATATAACAATATAATTTGGCCACTATCACCACAAGGGTTTCTTATAATGGCCTATGCATTCTGTAAAGCCTTTTCTCCAGAGCTATTTTTCAGAAAACTATTTTATTTCAATTTGAAACATACCTCAAAGGAGTGTCTGAATGACTTTTTAACATCAAAGAACAAAAAATGGTGATATAACAAAAAGAGAGAGAGAGAAAAAAAATCCAGTGACAGAAAAGTCAAAATGGTGCATTATCAGATTGTTTCCCATATTCATACATAAAACAAAATGATCACTAAGCAACTCTAGCTGGATACAATTTGTTGAAATATTTTATTACTTTTAAGAAATAGTAATACTCAAAAGACCAACATGGCTGCAAATAGTAATCATTATCTCTCTGAAGTATATTAACTTCCAATACTTAAGATACAATACATGTAACTCAGGTGACAAACCAATGAAACCACTCAGTCTCAGTCAGAAATATTCTTAAATAAAATGCACTCTACTCCAGTTTTGAAACAGAAGATAGCTTTAAGTTGGAAATCTGTATTCCATGAGAGTAGAAGTAGATAAGGTTAGAGAAGAAAGAGAGGGAGAGATCATACAGGGCTTTTTGGAAGTCATCCTTGAGACTTCTCCTCTGAGTGACATGGAACCACTTGGGGTTTGTGAGCAGGGGAATGACATGCTCAGACTTAAGATTTTAAYTGGATGCCTCTTAAAGYTGTACTGAAACAGATGGTAGAGGAACCAGAGACTGCTCCATCAAAATATACTACTATGAAATTCCAGCAAGAGTTTCAGCATTCCAAAAACCTCTTCTATAATGCCTTCTATTTATTTAGAGCTTAACTAAATTCTGGGAACTTTGCATATATTATCTTATAGCCTCAGGAGAATTTTAGGATCGAGGTGTTATTTGCATTTCACAGCAGTAGATACTGAGTTTAACTGGGTTTCAGTAACTTGTCAACCAGCAGAGAATCCGGGATCCACATCCACTTGTCTGATTYATAAACCATGTTCTTTCCAATGCATCATGCAGTCTCCAATCTGTTTTTTGTATAAATGATCTTATCTCTTCTTATTAAAACAAGTAGCAATTTAAGATTTTAACCTCAATGGACTTTGCTTCCTTTCCATATTATGTCAGACTGGATTCTGAGTTAGATTACTAAAGTCTGGCAAAAAATTCAATTAACATAGTACCTTTTCTCTCTTTCCTTTCATGGACAATTGACTTAATCTTGGGCACAAAAAATATTTTTCCTAGAAGAAAAGAAAGAATGTTACCAAGAAAATATTGGCAAAAGTAGATTAATTATTGAAGAAATTCAACTCTAATAAAAGGTTTTATAGAGCATTACATGAATATAATAACTAGTGAGGAAGACTATATTTACAATTTAAAAAGCTTGTATGTAATTCCTTTCACATATTATTTCTGATAAACCCTTTTTTTCCTCAAAAATCCTCGATRTACTCTCTAGTTAAGATGTTGTCTCATCTTTAAAAAGGTTGGTTTTTTTTAAAAAAAAAAACCAAAATGTGGTTATATACTTGGTATATTATTACAAATTATTAGAATTCTAAATGGGATAAAATATTTTTAAAGGACTTGAGATTTTTAAATAACACTAAAATGGAAAGTATTTTTTAAATTTATATATAACAGCAGAATGCATTACCATTCTTGTTACATATATAGAGCACAATTTTTCATATCTCTGGCTGTATACAAAGTATATTCACACCAATTCATGTCTTCATAAATGTACTTTGAATAATAATGATCATCACATTCCACCATCATTTATAATCCCATGCCCTCTCCCTTCCCTTCCCACCCCTCTGCCCTATCTAGAGTTCCTCTATTCCTCCCATGCTCCCCCTCCCTACCCTACTATGAATCAGCCTCCTTATATCAGAGAAAACATTCGCCATTTGGTTTTTTGGGACTGGCTAACTTCACTTAGTGTATGTTTGATATATTTCTGGTAAAGATGAAAAAAAAAAAMCAAAATTTAAACACCCAGATAGTAATGGAATTTTTAAGACTGCTTCCTTTAGTTGGTAGAAATGATAAGGACGACTTTAAAACCACTCTTAACTGAAAGAGATTTAGAATGATTGCTTCCTTCCATCATAATTCACTGCCTCCTCTATTCTTTCTCTCTCTCCCTTAGCATCCTTCCCCAAAACCCACTGGCCTGTGGTACCTTCTAACAAACAATCAACCCACATTACAACCTAACGTGGACAAAAAGGGAAGTMGTAAACTTATTGCCAATACATTAATAATTACCGTGCTCATCAAAGACATTTTATTCAATCAAGATTGCTACTAACTTTTAAATTTCCTATTGTCATTCAGGTTTCTCTTCCAGAACCCACATTAAGAAATTAGGAGTGCTCTGGGATATGTATAAACTACTGCTCTTGCTGGTTAAACTCTGTCACCTGACATCTTTCAGCGCCACCCCTTCTGGAGCTGTGGAAGTTCAACTAAGCCCTAACAGAGGCCCTAGTATCAAGAAGGAAGGAAAGGAAAGAGGGGTCACAGGGAAAGGAGCATTTTTTTTTTTCTCCACAAGCATAAACCTCTGAAAGACATTCAAGTATTTATGACAGTGAACAGGGTTGGAGAACTTGATTGAATAAAGACAAAGATCAAAAGTGAAACTTTGATTATAGGGATGGTCAACAGAATAGAAAACATAATGATGAAAATATTTCTTGATGATCTAACAGGATTTCATGGTTAAAAAGTGTCATCAGTATTCTTTTTTCCTTGAAGCATCTTATATGAATTCCCACATCCCCTAGGACTTATAAAATTTGGATTGGGTTGATGAATGTAATAATTGACCTATAGTTCATCTATAAGAGAGAACAGTTATCTGATTTAGTTATAAAGTATATTAAAGCATCAGGTACTTCATTTATTTATGTYAGCTCTCTCCTCTGAAAGTAGATATCAGTTAAGTGGAAACTAGCACTTTCCTGTCCACCAAGCAGAAAGTGTCAGTTATGACAGAAAAGCAATTCCAACTTCAAGTCCTAAAAACACCTGAAGAAAAAAAAAAAAAGCTAGACTCAATATGCAACCTCTTGTTCTCACATGTAGAACAACTCATTCTTTAGTTATTTAAGTTATGCTCTGAGAGAAACATGCCATTTTAAAGAATTTAGGGCTTTATCATCATCTAGAACATTTTCAGGGCAAATATCACTTGCAAAAACAAATGCTACAATAACTTCTTTGAAGTTATTCAGTCAATGGCTCATAAAATAAAAACTAGACCTCTAGATAGCTATGTATCTAGCTACCTGTTGGCTAGCAACTATCATAGACCCCCCAAAAAGAAATTTACTAACAAAAATGACGGCTAACTTTTGATTTACTGCTTGGTTTAAATCCACCCATTTACTGTTCAGGGACTGTGAAGTTCTATCGCACATGAAAGGAAATGTTGGAACCACTTGGCAAATAAGATTTCTTAGACATTGCAATGAAAACTGAGCAAATAAAGCAAAATAAATAAATAAATAAATAAATAAATAAATACCTTGGGCTTGACGGTGCTTCAAACCCCTATGGATGCACTTGTACTACCTTCCAAACAGGAACTTCCTACACTGTCTTAAGATGTAAATTTCAAACCAGGACACAGAACTCCTAAAAGCAAAGAGTCACAAAAATTAAGCAGAAATAGCTACTTCATGAATAATACAAGAGATGTCTAAGAGGGAAAAAACAAAAACTAATATACCTTTTCCTGTTTCCAGTTGGTTTAAGTAGGAGCCGGCAGTTTTGTAAGAAAAACTGGAAACCTGATCCCCACCCCCTCTCCTCCTCACGATGGGGCCCTGTCCCTTAATCCTAGAAATAGCGAATGTGAAGGCAAAGCGCTGCAAAGGGCAAAGGCGCCTTTAAATTGCCGAAATAACAGATAAAAATCACCAGCTTACAGTTACTCTTAAAAATTTTTTTAATGAGAGTTATGTAAAAGACATGGACTCACTCATTCAGATGACAGAGCTTTCCTCCCCTAGCCGAAGCACGCAGTGCGCCGCAGCAGATTATTTTTAGGGTGGTGGGAGATCAGCTGCTGCCTCCTATCGAGTTTCTAAATTGCACAAACTACTTCTCSGGCCGGGGCGGACACTTCGGCTGCGAGGCAGGAAACTGGGCAGAAGCCCCGCGCGCGCGTCGCCTGGGACTGGGGACCCTCCCCACCCCAGTTGGGCCCAACTTTCCGCGCTGGATCAGGAGACTTGGGGMGAGCGCGGTAAAGAGTTTACAAAACCAAGTCATCTGCGTACCCCCCGCGACTTGATCGGACACTGAAACTTGCAATTAATGATGCGACGATTCCCCGGAGTCGGGTTTTCAAAAGTCAGAACACGGGAGGTACTCGCCTGTGTTTTCCCCGCGAACTCTGTAAGCACCCTTTTATTGGCCACATAAGGAAGCGGATTGGGGGGTTTGACCGATTYGTCCCCAAGCGGACCTGGGAAACGAAGGGCTCATTTTAGGCATAAAAACCCGCTGCGGGGCTGTGTAAGTGCGTGCGAAGGTCTCCCATCCGCCACGCAGGCTCTAGTCGCACGTTTCCCCCAGTGACCTGGAAAACCTGCTCATTCCTCTCGAGGGGTCACCGCGCTGCAGACCCGCGACCCTTGCCCAAGCTCCCCGGAAGCGAGACTGTGGTTCCCACGAACCACCCGAACAGCTCCCCGGTCCCTTGCTCCCAACCAGAGTCGTAATGAACTCTCCAGATCACCCGTTTAAAATATGGTCACTCCACCATTACTTCCTCCAAGATCGCAGGCTGAGAATGTTGACCCCGACAACTTTTAAATTAACACTCCATTTTCTCAAGGGCCAGTTCTGAGTCAACTTGAAATCATCATCGTTTTCAGCAACTGCCCTAATCTAATCAAGGATGGTCAGCCAGGCGGGCTGGTGCCTCCCAAGTTCCGCGCGCGATCCCCAAGGGGCATGGGTCCCGGGACCTGAACCCTACACCCTAGTGGCCCCTGGCCTCGCGGACCTTGTGGGCAGTCAGTCCTGCAAGCCCCAGGGGATTTCCCCGCCAGGGCCTCTCTCCCGGGAAGTCGCTGCGTTCCCGGGTGAGTGCCTGCCTTGGCCAGCGTCGGTGGCCAGAACTTGCCTGCCGCTAGGGGCCTGCAAGCCACTTAGAGGCAGCACCCWGGAGGGTCCGGAAGACTGGTCCTGCGGCCTTTGAAGGCCGGGAAACTGCACCTTGGAGCTGTTTGCCCCGACTCAGGAGCAGGGAGAAAGGAGTGTGGCTCAAGAGTGGGGATCAGGGTAGGGTGGGTGGAACACCGGGAGAGCYCGCGCACAAGTCAGAAGAGGAATCAGAATCTCTCCAGGGCGTGTGAGGAGAGAAAGGAGTTGCAGATAATCCCAAAACAAGAAGTGTGGCTACTCAAAATGAACTTGAGGAGTTTTAAAAATCACTATTATTAAGGTCATTTATAATAATAAGAAAGCATCATTATTGGAGAAACTTTGGAAGAAGTGGGAAAGTATGAGATAGCAATGAGCCTCTCACAACCCATAAAACTACTGAAAATATTTTGTTTTATTTTAGCAAACACAGGCCTTATAGTATATTGATTAATTAAGCACATGGACGAGGAAGCCAGCCCTGTTTGATTCAAATCCTGCACAATGACTTTGAACAATTCCCTCTTTTGTACAATGAGACAAGTAATGGTTCATGTGTCTTAAAGGTTTGCTGTGAGTATATATGAGATCACATCTGCTCAGTGCAGAGAGTCGCTGCCACTTCGGCAAACATTAATGTGTATGTAGTCATTATTCTGGATATATATATCCAGAATAATGACTATACACAATATATATGTATTCATATATATTGTAGAAGGACAGAATGACTTTATTTTATTTGTTTATTTTTATGTTTATTTTATGTTTAGAACCCAGTGCCTCACACATGCTAGGAAAGCTCTCSTCCACTGAGCTAYAGCCCCAGCCCCTATTCTGGTTCTTTATATGCACATTTGTATTATTGGCTTCATAACATAATTTGTCTCCTCACAGCATCTTTTAAAATAATTTTCTTCCAATGATACTTTAAAATGTTCATAGAAATTATTAAAATGGTTGCATAATATTCCATCGTGTTGTTATCCCACAATTTAAAATGCATTTTCTTTTGTTAGATATATAATTCCAAATTTACACTAGCATGTGTGATCTTATGATGAACATTTTGTATAACTTTCTTTCTAGCAGGTAATTTCTTTAGAATACTCCAAAGAGTAATTATAGCACAAAAAGTGGTAAATATTTTTAAAGCTAGAGATATAACCTTAAATAACTGTTCTAAAGAGTTTGTATTAAATCCTCTCAACTGTGTGAGATAACATTACATTTTATACCCAACCAGTATTGGATATTTTCACTTAAAAAAAAATCTTAAAATTTGCCAGGTGTAGTGACACAGGCCTGTAATCATAACAGCTCCAGAGGCTGAGGCAGGAGGAACCATAAGTTCAAAGCTAGMCTCAGCAACTTAGCTAGACCCTGTCTGAAAATAAAAAATAAATGGGCTGGGATGTGAATCAGTGATTAAGCCCYTCTTGGTTTAATCCCTGGTATCCACCTCATAAAAATTTTATAATTTGACAGATAATAGACAATTTTTTTTGTCATTAAGTCAAGATTTTTTTCAACTCTCCATTAATCTTTGTATTCCTTTGAACTTTTAATAAGAAAATATTTTAATTCTGTCCTATATATATGACAAAGGTTTCCCCCATATATCATTTTAAAACAATGATAATGCCATCATCTTTAAAATTTAAAAAAAATATTGTTTTCTTTCATTTTGTAAAGATTTATTAAGAGTACACATGTGATTTACACAGAGGCCAGAGAAAGACCTCCAGAGTTTATGTTTTCATGGCACTTCTTCCTAAGGGAAAGTTTACGCAGACAAATCTGTTACTTTTTGTCACTGCAATATTCCAAAGCTTTAGTTAATAACCTCTGTTTATATTTGTCAAAGGTTTTCTTTTTAAAAAAATTTGATTCTAGAATTTATTTTGCATATGCCATGGGTGAGAATCTATGTAAATATCTGTTATACCAACATCATTTACTAAGAATGTTTTTCTTTTGTCTTAATGTGCAATGCCATCTTTTTCATATACCTATAATCACTTTACAATAAGATCTGTTTCTAAGCTACTTATTTTCTTTAATTGATTTATTTTTCAATTTTTAAAATTCTATTACTATGATCAGACTGATTTTATTATTATAGCTTTAAAGTATGTTTGTATATTTTAACCCTGGTAGTACCAGTCCACTTCTTATTCTTTAAATTTTTCTCAGCTACTCTTGTTTTGTTATTTTATTGGAATTTTATGAAATTTAAGAAATAGCATTTATAAAGAATTGCAATATTTTTAGTGTTCAGTCTTTCTGTCAGAGATGTGATTTCCAATTTAAGACTTCTTTTTTATCTCAAAATTAAATTTATAAGTACATTTMTTGTAAAGACTGATCATACAAATTTCACATTTTTATTTTCATATTTTATACYGCTATTAATAATGCACTATTTATTTATACTTTCTAATAGATTATCTATTTATTTATCTTATACCCACACACTTTACTAGTTTCTCAATAAGCCCCATTACCTTGACTTTGCAGAAAATTTGGATTTTTTTCTGCCAACAGTGATACATTTCCTTTTCCCTTTTAAATACTCATGGCTTATTTGTATTTCTCTACTAAATTAAAGAACACTACTAAATTAAAGAACACTTCTGTCGGAAATATATAATTTATTTTAAATCAACTTTGTTAAGCAAAATTTTTATTAAATAAAAAACATTCATCATATGTGTAAAATTCAAAGTGTGTTGACATAACCATGATCCCTAAAGATAAAGAATGTTTCTGTCTCCCCAGGAAACCCACGTGTCACTCACTAGTCAATCTAACCATTTCACACCTAGRATAATTATTAATCTGAGGTTTATTACTAGAGATCAGTTCACAAATGTCACATAAATGTAGTCATACATAATCTGCTATGTCTTGCTTTTTTATGTAAGCATAATATTTTTAGATCAATTCATGTTGTTGCATGTATCACTAGTCTTTTATTATTGAGAAGTATTTCAGTGCACTAAATATACCATAATATGTATCCATTCAAGTGTCCATATCCATATGGGTTATTTCTACTTTGGGAAACAATTAATAAAACTTCAATGAACAKCCTTATACATATAGATTTTCTTTTCTCTTGAATAAATGTCAAGCAGTGGATTTTCTGGGTTATATGGTATTTGCACATTTAACATCGCAGAAATTCCAAAATGATGTCCAAAGCAATTGAAACATTTTGTATTTTCTCCAGAAATGTGACAGTTCCAGTTATGCCATAGTTTACCAATGTTTAAGATCTTTGGTTTCATTGTTTTATTTTTGTGATTTAATTCTCCTATTGGATCTAAGTATAGCCTGGTTCTTGATTATGACTTTAATTTGGATCTGTCTTATAACTAATCACTTTGAGCATGTGTTTTCATAGGTTTACTGGTCATTTGTATATCTTCTTGTGGTAGGTATAATATTAAAATGGCTCCCATTCTGTATAATTATTCCCATCCTGACATTATGCTACATGGTAAAAGAAAATTTGCAAATGAGAATAGGATTATTTATCAGTTGACTTTAAAATAGGCTGATTAGGAGTTAAATCAGCTTGAAGGCAAAATTAGGAGAGGCCAGCCTTCATCCTTCCCTAAAGAAACAACATTTAGACAGCTATCTATGATTTAGAAACGGCTCAAAAGTTTGGTTAATAACCTACACCAACAACATAGAGAAGAAAAAAATGGAGAACAACTGCACTGAAAGGGTCATTGAGGATATCAATTAAATGATAACTGAAGATSGTTAGGAACAGAGAAGAGTGGAGCACTTAACAAAGAAAAAAATAATAATATTTTAAAATAATAAAATAATAATAATAAAACTTCCAACCAAGAATATTTAACCAGAAAATCTGTCTTTCAGAAATTATGGAGCTATAAAGAATTTCCCAAAGAAATGCTAAATGAGTTAATCACCATTCAATTTCCTTATAAGAAATATTAAAGGGAATCTTTAATATGAAAAGAAAGCAGACTAATTATTAACATGACATTATAAAACTTACAAAGGAAAGTATATAGTCAAATTAAGAATTTTCAAATACTGTAATGGTACCCCGAGTAAATCATTTAACTTTAATCTAAAATTAAAAGACAAAAGTATGAAACATAAATATAGGTACAATAACTTTTTAAATGATAACAGGTGTTAAATCCAGGGGCACTTAACCCCTGAGCCACATCCCCAGCCCCTTTTTTTTTTTTTTTTTTTTTACTTTCATTTTAAGACAGGGCCTCACTAAGTTGCTGAGGCTGGCCGCTTACTTATGACCATCCTGCCTCAGGTTCCCAAGTCTCTGGGATTACAGGTGCATGCCTCCATACCTGGCACAATAATTTCTTTTTTAAAAATATTTAATTTTTTTAGTTTTAGGTGGACACAATATCTTTATTTAATTTTATGTGGTGCTGAGACTCAAACCCAGTGCCTCACGCATGCTAGGTGAGTGCGCTACCACTTGAGCCACATCCCCAACCCCCACAATAATTTCTTAACTGATACACAGTATAAAAAGGTATAAATTGTGATATTAAAACATAAGTTGTGTGTGATAGGAAGAGAGTAAAATCATAGTTTGGGTATGTGGTTGAAGTTAAGTTGTAATCACTTAAAATAGACTGTTATAATTATGAAATACTTTTTCTAAATCCTTTTGTAAGGATGCATCAAAAACCTATGGTAGATATACAATAAAAAGAAAGAGAAAATGACTAAAACATAGCATATGGAAAATCACTAAATTTTAAAGAAAGCAAGAGAGAAAGATTTGAATAAAAGGCTCACACAAGATTTAGAAAACAAGACAGCAATGGTAAGTCCCCATCAATCACTAGTTACTTTAATTGGAAATAAATTAATTTCTCCAAATATAAAATAGAGTAACTAACTGGACTTTTAAAAAAAGACCTAATTGTTTATTCTCTATTAACGAGTCACTTTGCTTCAAGTATACATTTAAGCTGAAAAAGAGATTTCATGCAAATCATAACCAAAACAGGGCAGAGGTAGACAAAATGCACTTTCCCTTAAAAAACACTGGAATAAGAGACAAATAAAGCCATTTTGTTAAAGTGGTAAATTCTTCAAGAAATATAACAATTGTAAATATATATATAAATTATTATTTGATCATATGTTGATCAAATAATAATAGATCTGAAGACAGAATAAACAGTAGTATAATAATAGTAGAAGATTTCTATGTTTCACTTTCTTTTTTTTTTTTTTTTAAAGAAAAAACCATGCTGGTAGCATTACATAATCTGATTTCAAAGTTACAGTACTACAAATACAGTGTAAAAATTTTATGAATCCACAATAATTAAAATATATAAGTGGAAATACAGGCTAATGGAACTGAATACAAACCTCATTAATAAAGCCATGCATATATAGTCATCTAATCTCTCAGTAGGGTGCCAACAATACACAATGGGAAAATGAGAGTATCTTCCACTAATGGTGTTGTGAAAACTAAATACAAGCAAACAAATGACATTAGGTTCTATTCTTACATATAATGACATTAGGTTCTATTTCTTACAAAGAAATCAACTACAACTGAAAAATTAGATATAAAACCTGCAAATACAAAATTCTTATTATCTGGTTCTTAGAGAAAACTTCAGGACATTGGTTTTGGTAATGATTTCTTGCATAGGACATCAAAAGTACAAATAAAAACCAAA